CCCTCCTCGGCTTCCCAAAGTGCTGGGATTACAGGCGTGAGCCACCGTTCCCGGCCGAAAACTTAATTTTAAAAAGATAAAGGAGAAGATTAATAATCACTCATTACCTATGCAGGTGTTTGAGTTTGTAGCGTTTGTTTCTCTGAAGTTATTTATACATATATATGTGTGTGTGTGCATGTATATATATATAGAGAGAGAGAGAGAGAGTTGGTGGGGGGAGGGGAGAGAGACAGGGTCTTGCTTTGTTGCCCAGGCTGGAGTGCAGTGTGGTGTGATCATGGCTCACTGCAGCCCTGAACTCTTGGGCTCAAGCGATCTTCCTGTCTCAGTGAGCATCCTGAGTAGCTAGGACTACAGGCATGGGCCGCCATGTCCAGCTAATTTTTTTTTTTTTTTTGAGACGCAGTCTTGCTCTGTCACCCGGGCTGGAGTGCAGTGCCGCGATCTCGGCTCACTGCAAGCTTCGCCTCGTGGGTTCACGCCATTTTCCTGCCTCAGCCTCTGGAGTAGCTGGGACTACAGGCGCCCGCCACCACGCCTGGCTAATTTTTTTGTAGTTTTAGTAGAGACAGAGTTTCACCGTGTTAGCCACGATGGTCTCGATCTCTTGACCTCGTGATCCTCCCGCCTCAGCCTCCCAAAGTGCTGGGATTTCAGGTGTGAGCCACCACACCCGGCCCCATGCCCAGCTAATTTTTAAGAATTTTTTGTAGAGACAGGGTCTCCGTATGTTGCCCAGGCTGGTCTTGACCTCCGGGGCTCAAGTGATCCTCCTGCCTTGATCTTCCAAAGCTCCCAGGCATGAACCACCGGCCCAGCTTAATTACTTTCTCTGAAGTTAATGAAGCTTAAATCTGTATACCGTCAGATCTTAGAGCCTCCCATCTAGAACACCAGGCTGAAAAGTGCTGTGGAGAAGAATAAGGCCGGAAAGGGGAGCGGGAAGGTTGGTTAGCAAGCGGGGGTGTTGGGGGCTTGGCAAGTTGTAAAAGGGGTGTCAGAAGAGGCCTTGTGGAGAGGGCAGCTTGAGGTGGAGCCGGAGCTCCAGGGAAGAGCTGGATGAGCTGAGGACTCCAGGGCCCCGAAGTGTGAGTGGGCCGGGGCTGGCAGAATGGCCTTGTCTGAGGCCTCGGAGGCTGCAGGGAGACTGCGACCTGCCTCAATGTGGCTGGGACCCCAGCAGGGTTTTGAGGGCAGTGGGTCCAGAAACAGACCTGGAGACCTAGGAGATGTGGGGAGACTGGCAAATGGGCACAGTCACAGGGCAGATGGTGCCAGAGGCTCTAACCAGGACTGTGACTGTAGAAATGAAGTCGAACTGGGAGCCAGGAGAAGAGAATGACAGTCACTGAGACCACATCTCAGAAAGATTCGACGTCTTTTTCTGGGTGACTGCTTAACAATTTAGTGGCTTAGCGCAGCGCTTACTACCTCACGGTGTGGGTCACGACTGGGAGTGGCTCAGCTGGGGGGCTCTGGCTCACCATCACTCATGAGTCCTCGCTCAGGCTGTGGCACGGTGGCTCACGCCTGTAAGCCCAGCCCTTTGGGAGGCCAAGGTGGGAGGATTGCTTGTGCCCAGAAGTTTGAGATTAGCCTAGGTAACGTAGTGAGACCCCGTGTCTACAAAAAATAAACAAAAATGAGCCAGGCATTGTGCACACCATGGTCCCAGCTACTTGGGAAGCTGAGGCAGGAGGATTGTTTGAGCTCAGGAGGTCCAAGGCTGCGGTGATCGTGCCACTGCACTCCAACCTCGGTGACAGAGCAAGACCCTGTCTTAAAAAAAAAAAGCTGTGGGTGGGCTGTGGTCATCTGAGGGCTTGCCTGGGCACGGAGGGGCTGCTCCCTGGCTCACAGGCACGGCATGCTGGTGCTGGGTTTAGCAGGAGGCCTCGGGTCCTCCCCACGTGGACCTCTCCATGGGGCTGCTTGGGTGTCCTCACAGCACCGTGGCAGCTTGCCCCAGAGCCTTAGAAGCCATTTTCACGAGGACTCACTGGTCACCTGGTCAGCCCTGTTCGGTGTGGGTGCAGTCTGCCCAGAGACGTGTCAGCTGGGAGGTGAGATGCGTTGGGGGCCCTCGTGGAGGCTGGCCAGCTCGCTCGTCTTCTGCCTACAGAGAGGAAACTCAGAGGGCTTCTTGGACACAAAGTGGCTGTGCCTTGAGGGTGCCCTGGGAGGAGGCTGGAGCAGAAGGCTTCTGGACCAGGGACCTGTCTCCTGCCTGGGGTCATGGAGTTCCCAGTGCCTCAGCCTGGAAGGCCTTGCAGGGACAAGCCCACTCCTGAGTCTCCCTCCAGACCAAGGCTGCCTGGCCTTCTGGACCCCACCTTACTACGTCAGCCCTGGGGAGCTCCTGGAAGGGCGGGGACTGGTCACTGCTGAGGGTGCCGCCAGTGATGGGTCCTGGGCTGGTCAGCAGGGTCAGTGGGCTTCCCACATCCTCTTGCCATGCTGCTGTGGCCCTTGTCTGCCAGCGGCTGGTGCGGGGGGTTCCTGTGGTTTGCATGGCCATGTTGTGTATCTTGGAGGTCAGGCAGGTGGCTCCGGGCCGGGCCGCCTTCAGCCCTGCTCCGTGACTTGGGCTTGAGGTTGGGTGAGTTAAAGGCCAGCCAAGCCTGAGGCCAGTGTCTGGAGACCACCAGGTCCTGAGGCACGGTGTGCCTTGTGGCCCCCAGACCCCCCAGAGGCCGTGTGGAAAATTCAACTTTAAAGACTTAGGGTATTAAGATGCAATGAAGCTTTCAATGTGGTGGGGCTACGTGCAGGGCCCAGGTAATTGGGGAAGGCATCCTGGGCTCACCTGTACTGCAGGTATTCTTTCTTTTGATTTAAAACCACCACATGGGCTTTGCTTCATCCCTCATCTGCTCTGCACCAATTTCCCTGGCAGCCTCGTGGGTGTGACCTTCCAGAACATTCTCTGTGTATTCACAATTTGTGCTGTGCACATCTCAGTGCGTGCAGTGACCCCTCAGAAAATGATCTTGCAATGTGTTAACTTGTTTTCTTTAACTTGCACATTTCTGTGACTCAATCCACGTCGGTGTGTCTAGATCAGCTTGGTTCCAGCAGCTGCGTGATGGTCCATAAAATCAGGCCGTCCCACTTGCTGAAGTAGTCGCCGCTTTATTCTTGTTTTCTGGTCGTCATCACCTCTCAGTGGTCCCTGTTCTGCATGGGGGGTTGGGTGGGGCTGTGGCTCCTGCCCACCGTTCCTGGCAGTCAGGAGCAGCTGTGCTGGGCACCTGGCTCTGGGCCCCCTTCCTCGGGAGGAGCATCCTGGACTCATGGTTGGGGCCCAGGTACTCTTGCTGGCCGTGGCTGGGCTAACTGTAACTGGAGCTGTGGTTCTCAGGAAGGACACAGGCCATGCAGGGCCTGTAGGTCTCAGAATTCCCGTTGAGGGCCCCGGGAGGAGCCCACCTGGCCTCAGGTGGGAATTCTGAGAAGGAATAGGGATTCTGGGGCCCCCAGTGGGGATTCTGAGAATTCCCGGAAGTCCCTGCAACACGTGAGGTTGAGGACCATGTAATCTGAGCATCCCTGAAATCTATAGGCCCCTGTGGTCACCTGGGCCCTCCTCTCAGGGACTGTGTGCCGGGAGAAACGGGGCTGAATCTGGGTGTGAGGTCAAGAATCCAGGGGAGAGGCCATACTCTCAGTGTTCCTCGGCAGGGCTCTGAGCGCAGGTCTCTGAGGCTGCCCAGCTGTTCATCCCCTCCTCGTAGGAGAAGCGCAGATCTCGTGCCTAAGTGTGCTAGGGTGCTGATGGGTGCCGCCTACAGGCCACTGCCCTCACGCGGGAGTCAGACTGAACGAACTAGTCCAGATCCACAGAGACTTCTAAACCGGGCTTGATGCTGACATGGAAAGTATGCAGGGCTCAGATTTGGGGGTGGGGTGACTTAGTCTGGGGTCAGGAAATGTGTAAGGATTTCTCGGGGTGGCTGTGACAAATGACCTCTAACCGTGGCTTAAGACGCAGAAATGTATTCTCTCACCGTCATGGAGGCACATGTCAGAAACTGAGGTGTCAGCAGACCCACGCCCCCTGAAGGCACTTGGGGAGGACTCTTCCTTACCTCTCCCCACTCCTGGGGCCCCAGGCACTCCTTGTCATCCCTGGGCTTGTGGCCGCATCACTGCAGTCTCTGCCTCTTTCTTCCCTTGGTCTTCCCTTGGTACGAGTCTGCGTCCAAACCTCCCTCTTCTTCCTTCTGTTAAGAACCAGTTACTGGATTTAGGCCCTTCAATCCAGTATGACCTCATCTTAACTTCATTACATCTGCAAAGACCCTAATTCCAAATAAGGTCACATGCACAAGTAGGGGGTGGATGTGGGGTAGGACCTGAACTTGTCTTCATCGGGAACACAGCTCAGGCCACCACAGAAAAAAGTGGTGTTAGAGCTGGGAGCTGGCTGACGGGCTGTGAACAGTGAGGAGCTATCCAGGGAAGGGTGTTTAGGCTGGCGGTGTGAGGAGGTCAGGAGGCCACCTTGGAAGGCCTGAGGCCAGGTGGCCGAGGCAGAAGGTGTGGGGGACGCCCGTTGGCCTGTCTGCACCAGCTCCCCTGAGGTGGAGCCTTTCTCAGGACTGGGCTTCTTGGCCATCAGATGTTCCCACCGGGCTGTGTTCAGCCTCAGAGTCTATAACTGTGTTTCCAGGCTGGGCACTGTGGCTCACACCTATAATCCCAGCACTTTGGGAGGCTGAGGCAGGCGGATCACTTGAGGCCAGGTGTTGGAGACCATCCTGGCCATCATGGTGAAACCCCGTCTCTACTAAGAATACAAAAATTAGCCAGGCATGGTGGCACCTGCCTGTAATCCCAGCTACTCGGGAGGCTGAGGCAGAGAATCGCTTGAACCCAAGGAGTGGAGGATGCAGTGAGCCAAGATTGCGCCATTGCAGTCCAGCCTGGGTGACAGAGCGAGACTCCATCTCAGAAGCAAAAAACCAATCTATAATCGTGTTTCCTTTTTTAAACAGGAAACTACTTTGCTTCGCACTTTTTCATGGGAGGAGAGAAATTTGACACCCCCCACCCTGAAGGTTACCTCTTTGGAGAGAACATGGACCTGAATTTCCTGGGCAGCCGCCCAGTCCAGGTGGGTCTGGACAGGGCTCTCACTGGGCTGCGGGGGTGGGAGACCCCGTCCCCAGCGGTCTGCATCCCAGCCATGAGGGCAGACGGGCACCAAATCACCCCTAAAGGGGGCAGAGCTCCTGACAGGGTTCCAGTTGAGCTTGGGTGTGGACACGTGCCCTGGAATGGGGTGTCCTGGTGCTGCCCCTTAGAGGCCAGATGGCCAGGGGCAGGTCACTGCGAAACAGAGCAGCCATACTGAATGGGTGCATCTGGGTTGCAACGGCTGCAGAACGTTGTAGATTTGATTCCAGCCTTCTTGGATGACTTTCTTTTTTTTTTTTTTGAGACGGAGTCTCGCTCTGTCACCCAGGCTGGAGTGCAGTGGCCGGATCGCAGCTCACTGCAAGCTCCGCCTCCCGGGTTCACGCCATTCTCCTGCCTCAGCCTCCCGAGTAGCTGGGACTACAGGCGCCTGCCACCTCGCCCGGCTAAGTTTTTGTATTTTTAGTAGAGACGGGGTTTCACTGTGTTAGCCAGGATGGTCTCGATCTCCTGACCTCGTGATCCGCCCGTCTCGGCCTCCCAAAGTGCTGGGATTACAGGCTTGAGCCACTACGCCCGGCCGATGACTTTCTTTAAAAGGAAAAATAGTATTTACAGACCCCGGGCATTGTGGCTCATGCCTGTAATCCCAGCACTTGGGGAGGCTGAGGCGGGCAGATCACCTGAGGCCAGGAGTTTGAGGCGAGCCTGGTCAAAATGGTGAAATCCTGTCTCTACTTAAAAAAAAAAAAAAAAAAATTAGCCAGGCGTGGTGGTTTGTGCCTGTAATCCCAGCTACTCGGGAGGCTGAGGCAGGAGAATCACTTGAATCTGAGAGTTGGAGGTTTTAGTGAGCTGAGATTGCGCCACTGCACTCCAGCGTGGGCAACAAAGGGAGGCTGTCTCAAAAAAAAAAAAACAAATTGACTTTCCCTAGAACAGTGGGCAAGAGACATGGTCCAAAGGAGAGACCCAGACAGCTGGCTAATATCTTCCCTCATTGCCAGAGGAGGGTACATTCGAATACTGTCATAGTACGCGAGTACTGTGAGCTGTCCGTTTGTTCAGCACACGTTTGGCACCTGTTGTGTGCCTAGCACTCTTCCAGGGCCTAGGGTGAAGGCAGACCCCGCCTCTGCTACCTAGTGGGAGTATAGACAATTAACACAGGACAAATGGGTAGAAGAGAGAAAGGGCAGAAAGGGAGACGCCACTGGAGAGGCCGTGGCTGAACCAAGCCGTGATAGGTGGGAAGGAGGCCCCTCCAGGAGGAGCAGAAAGGCAGGGGGCCCTGGGAACAGAGGAGGAGGTGAGAGGGTGCAGGCCTTGGGGGACAGGAGGCCGGAGGAGCCAGTAAACGTTGGGGGATCTGGGGGCTCAGCCTGGGGCGGGGGTGCTCGTTGGAAGCTTTGAGGATGGAAAGGGTGGGGCCCAAGGAAGGGGCTGAGGTTGCTCCAGGCAGTGATGGATGTGGGAAGCCTGGGAGAGCAGGTTGGGGATGGGCGGCCCCAGCGTGCCGGAATCAGGCGTTGAGGCTGCCTGGCCGGATTTGCTCAGGGTGGTTTGGTCCTGGCTGTTGCATGTGCGGGCTGTGTGGCCTGCAGCTTCTACCTGTAAATGAGGACAGCCTACCCACGCAGCCTCTAACACGGGGACGAGAACCCAGGGATACTCATTGGGGCTGTGGCCGCTGCACCCTGGCCCGTTTTCTGTCCTTGGCCGCTCCTGAGGGAGTCACCTGCGGCCCTGTGGTTTTCCTCCTAGTTTCCCTACGTCACTCCTGCCCCTCACGAGCCCGTGAAGACGCTGCGGAGCCTGGTGAACATCCGCAAAGACTCCCTCCGGCTGGTGAGGTAACCTTCGCCCTGCCCCTGGGGACCCTGTGGCTCTGTGGGGCGCAGCCCGGGGCAGAGGTTCTGGCTTGCTTGAGGAAAAGGGCAGGTGGGAGGGGCCCCAGTTTCTGCACCCTGCCATGTGGAATCAGAGGCTGCCCTGGGCTGAGTGAGGGAAAGGGCATGTGGAAAGAGCCATTTAGCCAGGGCTTCTCAGCTGTGCCTCACAGGGACCCTGGGCAGTGTCTGGAGGCAGCCAGGTGGGGTGCCCTGGCATCTCAGGTGGGTGCCAGGGGTGCTGACTTCCCGCCATGCACGGGACGGCCCCCCACTGCCAGGAATGACCCAGCACCAGATTTCAGTAGGTTCAGAAACTGCCTAAACCAACTAGACTTGAGGCATCTGGGGCTGTCTCTGAACCAAAAGCATGTACCCCGTCTTCTGTGGGCAGGAAGAAGGAGAGGCAAGCCCTGGACCATTGGGCTTTCATGTCCAAATAGGAAACGGCCCCCATGTCTGCTGGAGAAGTGGGCTGTGTCCACAAAGCCGCCTTCACGGCCCTCAGCCTGGCAGGGCAGGAGGCAGCCTCCGCGGATGTGGCCTCTGATCCGCTGCCTCTCTCCACCGCCTGCGGTAGGTACAAAGACGACGCTGATAGCCCCACCGAGGACGGCGACAAGCCCCGGGTGCTTTACAGCCTGGAGTTCACTTTCGACGCTGATGCCCGTGTGGCCATCACCATCTACTGCCAGGCGTCGGAGGAGTTCCTGAACGGCAGGGCAGTGTGAGTCCCACATGCGGCTGGCAGCAGCTGGGCTGGGGGTCCCCGGACTCCTTGGGGAGGCTTCTCTCTGCCTTAGTAACCAGAGGGAGAAAACGAAACCCTGCTCTCTTACCATACTCCCAGGACTTTACCACAATGTGAGGGGCTTCTCCCACCCCAGGGACTCGCCTCTTCTCTGCGGGAGCCAGCTGGGGTCCTGTGACTCATTTCAGTTCCGATGCTGCCTGGAGTTTGTGCAGCACATGGAGGGCCCAGTCCCACAAGACTGCCCCATTTCAGATGCCAGTCATAAGCCCCCACTGCCACCTGAACTTCTCACCAACCAGCCGTAAATCATGCTCCCACAGCCCACTCCTCAGGCTTGGTCAGTTGCTGATGTGGCTCACAGAAGCCAGGGAAACACTTGGCTGATGTTTGTTGGTTGATTGTAAAGGATCCAGATGAAGAGGTTCACAGGGCGAGGTGTGGGGAAAGGGGTGGTGCGTGCCACCTTCGTATTCACCAACCCGGAAGCTTTCCCGAAAACTGCTTATTTCAGGGCCTTTTCTGGAGGCTTCATCACGTAGGCAGGATTGATGATTAACTCTGTCTTCAGCCGCTGTCCCCTCCCTGGAGGATGGGGCTTGGCTGAAATTCAGTTCCAGGTTTTTTTTTTTTTTTTTTTTTTTTGAGACAGAGCCTCGCTCTGTTGGTCAGGCTGGAGTGCAGTGGCGCGATCTCGGCTCACTGCAATCTCCGCCTCCCAGGTTTAAGCGATTCTCCTGCCTCAGCCTCCTGAGCAGCTGGGACTACAGGCATGCACCAGCACACTTGGCTAATTTTTGTATTTTTAGTAGGGAATGAGGGGTTTGCCATGTTGGCCAGGATGGTCTCGATGTCTTGACCTCATGATCCCGTCCATCTCGGCCTCCCAAAGTGGTTTTGTTTGTTTTTGAGACGGAGTTTCACTCTTGTTGCCCAGGCTGGAGTGAAATGGCGCGATCTCGGCTCACTACAACCTCCGCCTCCCAGGTTCAAGTGCTTCTCCTGCCTCAGCCTCCCTAGTAGCTGGGTTTACAGGCGTGTGCCACCATGCCCTGCTAGTTTTGTATTTTTAGTAGAGACAGGGTTTCTCCATCGTGGCCAGGCTGGTCTCGAACTCCCGACCTTAGATGATCCACCTGCCTTGGCCTCCCAAAGTGCTGGGATTACAGCCGTGAGCCAGCAGCCCGGCCCGCCTGGCCCAGGTTTTTGTTTGTTTTTCCTCAGGAGCTCTTCGACGACATTTCCAAGATTCTAATCATGGCTTGGTCTTTCTGGCGGCCAACCCCATACAGGAGCCGAGAGTCACCTCACTGACACATAAGACGCTCCTGCCACCCAGGACATTCCGCGGGTTTGGAGTTCTGTGTCGGGAGCAAAGATCACGGACCAAATAATAGAAAAAACACGCTCGTAGCACGCCTGTCGCTCAGGAAATGACAAGGGTTTTAGAGGACTCCGTGTCAGGACCTGGGGCCGGGACCAAATATTTATTTTTTATTGTGTCACAATTACATATTTGCACTTTCAGAGGTTTTATTTGAAATAAGGGTCCTTCTGGCCCTGAAGGTTTGAAACGTGCGACTTCAGCAGGAGCTGGCAGGACCGCCTCCAGCCTACAAAGGCACATCTGCCCCAAGTGGCTTTAGGGACAGGCAGGAGTGTACCCCCCACCTTCCTGCATTGGAGCACAGTGCTCAGTGGTCAGTTTTGCATCTGGCGATAGGGTGTGGTTGAGAGCCTAGCCTTTGAATGCTGTCCCCACTGAGTGGCTTGGGGCACGTGACTGCTTGTGCTTCTGTGTCCTCAGCTGGAAATGCGGGTGGGTGGTGTGAGGAGGGGACCGTGTGTCCTGTGCACAGCCCCTCATGTGACAAGTGCTCCTGAAAGGAGCCCGAGTGCTCGAGCTGAGGGGCTGGTGGAAACGACTCGTGGGGCTTCTGAGGGAACCTGCCACGAGGTGAGGCCGCCCTTGGGCTCTGGCCCTGGGCTCCCCGGCAGCCAGGGTTCTTCCTGTGGACCAGCACTTGGGGGAGGAACAGGTCCCTTTTCCTGGACTTTGTTCTTTGAGGCTCTACCTTGGCCTGGCATGTGATTTTATATATATATGTGTGTGTATATATATATATATATATTTTTTTTTTTTTTTTTTTTTTTTTAAGATGGAGTCTCACTCTGTCACCCAGGCTGGAGTGCAGTGGCACGATCTCAACTCACTGCAACCTCTGCCTCCCGGGTTCACACCATTCTCCTGCCTCAGCCTTCCAAGTAGCTGGGACTACAGGCACCCACCACCACGCCCAGCTAATTTTTTGTATTTTTAGTCGAGACGGGGTTTCATCGTGTTAGCCAGGATGGTCTCGATCTCCTGACCTCATGATCCTCCCACCTTGGCCTCCCAAAGTGCTGGGATTACAGGCGTGAGCCACTGTGCCCGGCCCAGATCATATTTCTTTAATGACACCAGAAATGCATGCCTGTGTGCTATGACAGGCGTGGAATTATTGGGTATAGGAGCATTTGGAGTGACCAGGGCAGGCCCCTCTGTCCCTTTCTTGCATCCCACTGCTTGGGGTTGAGTGTTTGACACCCACGGGGCCTGGTGCCCTCCTCAGGCCTGGCCAACGTGATGGAGGAGCTGGGCTTCTGGGGCCTGGTGCCCTCCTCAGGCCTGGCCAACGTGATGGAGGAGCTGGGCTTCTGGGGCCTGGTGCCCTCCTTGGGCCTGGCCAACATGGTGGAGGAGCTGGGTTCTGGAGAGATGTCCGGGGGCTGCCACAAAGGGGGTGTGCGCCGAGGTCACAGGCCAGTGTGAGTGAGTGGTCTGCCCCCTGCCCCCCAGCGCTCAGGGGTTGGGTAAGCATCTCGGGTGCGCTTGAAGAGAGGGTCCCGCTGCCACCAGAAAGGCTAGAGAGAACAGAGAAATGCCCTGCCAAGCCTGGCTGGTGTCACCCTGTCCTAGACCCCCGGGGGCTAGTGACGAGAAAAGTGCCACAGTCCCCCTGTCTCAGGACCTGGCGCAAGGCCAGCTTCCCGTCCCAGCGGGGATCACAGAGAAAACAGTCCCCTCCTCTCGGGACCTGGTACGAGGCCTGATTCCCCTCCCAGCAGGGATCACAGAGCAGGAGCAGCTCCAGGACCTGGAGGCCGTGCCCAGGCACCCAGACCCCATCCAGCCTGCCAGTGCTCCATCCATTTGAGCTGCAGGGCAAGCCACCCTCTCTGCCTCATGACAGGGAAACTGAGGCTCAGACAGAAGGGTGTGTGCAGGGCTCCACAGCTCACAGGAGAAAGCTGGGGTCCACCTGAGGGCGGTGTCTTTTTTTTTTTTTTTGAGATGAAGTCTCATGCTGTTGCCCAGGCTGGAGTGCAGTGGCGCGATCTCGGCTCACTGCAAGCTCCGCCTCCCGGGTTCCCGCCATTCTCCTGCCTCAGCCTCCTGAGTAGCTGGGACTACAGGCGCCCGCCACCGCGCCCGGCTAATTTTTTGTATTTTTAGTAGAGACGGGGTTTCACTGTGGTCTCGATCTCCTGACCTTGTGATCCGCCCGCCTCGGCCTCCCAAAGTGCTGGGATTACAGGCTTGAGCCACCGCGCCCGGCCGAGGGCGGTGTCTTAAGTGTGCGTTTTACTGAGGCTGAGCCTGGGCCTCCCCTGTAGTGCCGCCTCCCACACTGGGCTCTGGTGGCCAGGGCAGGCCTCTTCTGCCTTTGTGTGTACAGTGGTGGCCCTCCCACACCCTACCCCACCTCTGGGCTCAGTGTGCCTTTGTCCAGGAGAGCCAGCCCTGGCCACAGGCAAGCAGGGTGGTGTGGTGGAGGGAGGGGCTGTGGGGTGTGAATTGGGTTCCTGCATGGAGTTTTATCAGACATGAAACTGCTTGAGACACCTGTCTTAGGGATGCACTCGCGCCTGGCCTGTGGCGAAGACATGCGGAAAGGTGTTAAGAAGAGTGAGATATTGGTGACCATCTCAGGGGCCCTGACGGAATGATAAAACCACAGCGGGACCGGTGTGGTGGTTCACAGGACACAGCCCCAATGTGTGCGGACACATGAAAGAGCAGTGTTGACGCCTACCGCGTCTGAATGCTGAGGAAGAGAGACCCGCGGTGCACGTGGCCACCATTGTGCCTCGCTCCCCGGGAGTGATATATGGGTCTCTGCTGGGGCGGAGAACAGGCCGCTGGGAGCAGGTGTGAGGGTTGGGGAAGGAGCATTTTGCACTGTGTGTACTTAAGTACTGTGTTCATTCTAAAAGTAAGCACTCAAGCTGGGCGCAGTGATTCACGCCGGTAATCCCAGCACTTTGGGAGGCTGAGGCAGGTGGATCACTTGAGGTCAGGAGTTCGGACCAGCCTGGCCAACATGTCGAAACCCTGTCTGTACTAAAAATAAAAAATTAGCCTGGCCTGATGGTGCACACCTGTAATCCCAGCTACTCTGGAGGCTGAGGCAGGAGGAGCACTTGAACTCGGGGGGCAGAGGTTGCAGTGAGCTGAGATCATGCTGCTGCGCTCCAGTCTGGGCGACAGAGCAAGACTCTTATCTAAAAAAAAAAAAAAGTAAACCAGCTTAGCACCCCATCGAAAGGAAAAGCACAGCCACACTGGGCGATGTAGCAAAGGGATTGGGCAGGTGTGGGCTCTGGAAGAATCGTAGCCGGGCCTGACGTGGGCAGAGCTGCATGGTGAGCCGAGAGGCTGTGGAAGGCCCTGGAAGGTGAGGGCCACGTGGTCATGTAGGCAGTTTGCTGTCCCCCACAAGAGAGGGTCCCCAAAAGACAGATGTCTGCAGCCCTGCCAGCTTTCAGAGTGGGAGGGGCGGGCACGGAGGGCCCTCGCCCTGCTGCAGTCTCACTGCCTGCTCTCGGCTCCCTGCAGATACAGCCCCAAAAGCCCCTCACTACAGTCCGAGACCGTCCACTACAAGAGAGGTGTGAGCCAGCAGTTCTCCCTGCCCTCCTTCAAGATTGACTTCTTGGAATGGAAGGATGACGAGGTAATCCTGGCTGAACTCCTTCTTGCCCTTTGCTCCTTCTCTCGAATTCTCTCCTCTTGGGGGTGGGGCCAGCGCAGTGAGACCTGTGTGTTTGGGTTCCTCCGGGCTTCATAAGGCCTGGGAACGGCTACCCTAGTCTATGTGCTCAGGCAGACGTGCGGATGGACTGGAGCAAGGCCTGGGCCACATGTTGGCGGAGCCAGGAGACCAGACGCCAACCAGGCAGCCACACTCGGAGGTTCAGACACTGGGATCTCGGGAGCTGTGAAGAATGGGGCCCCCTTTGCCGGCTGCAGCAGTGCAGGGTCTGTTCACACCAGGTGGTGGTCTTTTTTTTTTTTTTTTTTTTTTTTTTTTGAGACGGAGTCTCGCTCTGTCACGGCCCAGGCTGGAGTGCAGTGGCCGGATCACAGCTCACTGCAAGCTCTGCCTCCCAGGTTCACGCCATTCTCCTGCCTCAGCCTCCCGAGTAGCTGGGACTACAGGCGCCCACCACCTCGCCCGGCTAGTTTTATTTTTTTTTAGTAGAGACAGGATTTCACCGTGTTAGCCAGGATGGTCTCGATCTCTTGACCTCGTGATCCGCCCGTCTCGGCCTCCGAAAGTGCTGGGATTACAGGCTTGAGCCACCACGCCCAGCCTGGTGGTGGTCTTTCAAACTTTTTTTTTTTTTTTTTTTGAGACGGAGTCTCGCTCTGTCACCCAGGCTGTAGTGCAGTGGCTGGATCTCAGCTCACTGCAAGCTCTGCCTCCCGGGTTCACGCCATTCTCCTCCCTCAGCTTCCCGAGTAGCTGGGACTATAGGCGCCCGCCACCTCTCCTGGCTAGTTTTTTGTATTTTCAGTAGAGACAGGGTTTCACCGTGTTAGCCAGGATGGTCTCGATCTCCTGACCTCGTGATCCGCCCGTCTCGGCCTCCCAAAGTGCTGGGATTACAGGCTTGAGCCACCGTGCCCGGCCGAAACTTTTTAACCTTAGTTTTGTTTAAAATCTTGATGCAGACGTCTCTTTTTTTTTTTTTTTTTTTTTTTTTTTGAGACGGAGTCTCACTCTGTTGCCCAGGCTGGAGTGCAGTGGTGCGGTCTTGGCTCACTGCAACCTCTGCCTCCTGGGTTCAAGGGATTCTCCTGACTCAGGTTCCTGAGTAGCTGGGATTACAGGCACATGCCACCATGGCCAGCTGATTTTTTGTATTTTTAGTAGAGATGTGGTTTCACTGTGTTAGCTCAGATGGTCTTGATCTCCTGACCTCGTGATCCGCCTGCCTTGGCCTTCAAAGTGCTAGGATTACAGGCGTCAGCCACTGTGACCAGCCAAAGCTGCAGACTTCTTTTAACGAGGCCTTTTGTAGGTTGCGGCTTAAGTGGCTGCTTTGCTAGTTTTCCCTCCTAGGCCCCTCTCCAGCTTTCAGTCAAAGCTGTATCCTCCTTCCTTCTCCCTTTGCCTTGTTTTCCAGCGTCCATGTGGTCTGCAGCTTGCAAAGACCCTGGTCCAGGGGGTTCCTGTGTAACAGTACAGACCTTGTGTGGCCAGGCACGGTGGCTCACGCCTGTCATCCCAGCACTTTGGGAGGCTGAGGCAGGCGGATCACGAGGTCAGGAGATTGAGACCATCCTGGCTAACACAGTGAAATCCCGTCTCTACTGAAAATACAAAAAATTAGTCGGGCGAGGTGGTGGGCGCCTGTAGTCCCAGCTACTCGAGAGGCTGAGGCAGGAGAATGGCGTGAACCCGGGAGGCGGAGCTTGCAGTGAGCCGAGATCAAGCCAGTGCACTCCAGCCTGGGCGACAGAGCGAGACTCTGTCTCAAAAAAAAAACAGGCCGGGCGCGGTGGCTCAAGCCTGTAATCCCAGCACTTTGGGAGGCCGAGACGGGCGGATCATGAGGTCAGGAGATCGAGACCATGCTGGCTAACACGGTGAAACCCCGTCTCTACTAAAAAATACAAAAAATTAGCCGGGCGAGGTGGCGGGCGCCTGTAGTCCCAGCTACTCGGGAGGCTGAGGCAGGAGAATGGCGTGAACCCAGGAGGCGGAGCTTGCAGTGAGCTGAGATCCGGCCACTGCACTCCAGCCTGGGCGGCAGAGCGAGACTCCGTCTCAAAAAAAAAAAAAAAAAACAAAAACAAGAAACAGGACAGACCTTGTGGGTCCGAGGCCAGGCGGAGACATTGACCACATGCCCTCCCAGGAGGCCTGATGAGCTTACTTATGCTGGGGCCAGTCCTGTGGCTCCTCTCTTCCTGACCTGCAGCCGCTCTCTGTGAAAAGCCTCCTTGTCCTTGCATTAAAAATAAAACAAGCCGGCCGGGCGCGGTGGCTCAAGCCTGTAATCCCAGCACTTTGGGAGGCCGAGACGGGCGGATCACGAGGTCAGGAGATCGAGACCATCCTGGCTAACACGGTGAAACCCCGTCTCTACTAAAAAATACAAAAAACTAGCCGGGCGAGGCGGCGGGCGCCTGTAGTCCCAGCTACTCGGGAGGCTGAGGCAGGAGAATGGTGTAAACCCGGGGGGCGGAGCTTGCAGTGAGCTGAGATCCGGCCACTGCACTCCAGCCCGGGTGACAGAGCCAGACTCCGTCTCAAAAAAAAAATAAAAAAAAAATAAAACAAGCCAGGTGTGGTGGCTTTTGCCTGTAGTTCCAGGACTTTGGGGGGCTGAAGTGGAAGGATCATTTAAGGTTGAGACCAGCCTGAGTAAAACCTTGTCTCTGTGAAAAATACAAAATTCAGCTTGGTGTGATGGTATTCGCCTGTAGTCTCAGCTCCTGAGGAGGCTGAGGTGGGAAGATCGCTTGAGCTTGGGAGATCGAGCTTGCAGTGAGCCATGATCATGCCACTGCACTTCAATCTGGGTGACAGAGCGAGACCCTGTCTCAAAAGTAAAAGCACCTGGGAGTGGGGGACCACCAGGTTGTCTAAGGAGGGGGGAATCGGCCCAGGCTGGAAACCGAACAGATGAAAACTCTCATGCTGAGGAGTAGTGGGATTGTCCCTTTGAATAGCCATTGTACTCCAGCCTGAGCAACATAGCGAGACTCCATTTCTTGGGAAGGTAAAAATAATAATAATAAAATAAAGGTAAAAGTAAAATAAATGTCTCCCCAATCTCCCTTGGGTGGGCGGAGTCTCTGTCCTCTCCCAGCATCACCGGTGTGGACCCTGCACGCAGCTCTCACGTGTGGCTGTGGGTGCTGTGTGGCGTGTGTGCTGAACTCTGGGGAGTGGGAGTTTGGGGGTGTCTCTGTTCCCTGTTTTTTCATGTTCCCTGGGGTCCCTCCCCCAGCCCCTCTGGGGAGCCCCAGTCTCCATGCCCTGTGAGCCATGGGTTTGCAGGTGAGGTGGGAGGGGGAGGGGAGGGGTCACTGTGGCCAGCTTCCTGAGGGTTCAGGGCCCAGAGAGGGTTGGAACCACGATGCCCCCAGTTGTCCTTACCTCTGTCCCGGACTTGGCACTGGTCCCACCAGGGGCCCTTTGGTGAGGGTTTGCTGAGGAAGCTGAATGAGCGCCCGTGTGCTTGTAGCCCTGGCTTGTCCGTGGATGGCCATGCTGAGAGTCGGCGCACGTCAGGGACAGCTGCTGCTGTGCGGCCTTCGAGCTGCTATCTTTGTCAGGACTTTTGTGGATGGAAGTGACAGAAAAACTCTTGGGTTTGTTTAAGAAAAGAAAACTAGAGACTTACTGGTATAGATTCAGAGAAGACTAGGTGGCCTGAGGTTTCTTCCAGGGAATGTGTCATCAGGGCGGGGATCTCTGTGGCTTAGCCTCCCACCTCCCTCAGCTGGCCCTGTTCTCAGCGAGTGCCCTGCAGGCCAGCGCGTGGCCATCCGGCTGGGTCCAGAGGTGCTTGGAGGCCGTGCGCCTTCTCTTTGTGGCCCCACTTGGGGCGGGGGCCTCCCGTCCTGCAGCCAGGCCACAGAGACCTGGAGTAGGAGGGAGACGCTTTCCCAGAGAGAACCTGAGGGGCTCAGATGCTGGGCCAGACGTGGCTTAGCGTCGTTAAGAGCACAGCTGCAAGGACAGGCCACAGGGGTGCCCAGGGTGGCTGCACTGGCCTTGCCCAGGAGCAGAGAGGACATGTGTGGAGGGGCTGGGGGCCCACTTTGGTTCTGCTGCTTTCTCTCTCTAGAGCGTTAGGCCAGTTCTGCAGCTCTGTGAGCCTGGGTTTGCCCTTCTGCAGACTGGGGCTGGAAGCAGTTCCTCACAGGGTGGCCATGAGGGCTCTGTGATCAGCATGCAAAGGGCTTTACCCGGGGTGCCCACTGTAAACCCCAGTCTGCCAGCCGGCTAGTGGGAGAGAAGGCTACAGCTACCATCATGCACGCCTCCCCCAGACCATTGGTTTTTATTGCACACCAGTAAAGCACTGTCAGCACTGAGTTTCTGCAGTGTGATGAGAAAAAATCACAGCTCACTCAGGCTCCTCCGTCAGTGCTGAGGTGCTGGCTGCGCGGATGCATTCCAGGCCTGGGTGGAAGCGCGGGGTGGGCAGGGGCGTGGGGGTGGGTGTGCTCCACAAAGCTCTGCCTCCCCCGTCCAGCTCCATCACCTAAAGGAGCGGCTGCCGGTGCGTGAACTCCTCCTTTCTGGGCTTCATGACAGCCCTTGTGGCAGCAGCGTGGGAGCGTTGCTAGGCAACCCTGGGACGATGGCTCCTGTGCAGACTCAGCGGAGTGGGCAGGAAATAGGCTCACAAGGGGCCTACAGTCCCAGCATCAGCCCCTGACAGGCTCCCCACGCCAGGGAAGGGAGTGTCCCTCCCTCTGGCAAGCCCAGGTGTCTGTGGTATCCCTCGGTTGGCTGGGAGCTGGAGGCCTGGCTGGGTCCCGGTGGGTGTGAACATGTGCCCCACCTCCCTGCAGCCTCCCCCCGGCTTTTTGAGACAGGGGCTCACTCTGTCTCCCAGGCTGGAGTGCAGTGGCACAATCACAGCTCGCTGCAGCCTCGAACTCCTTGGTTAAGAGATCCTCTCACCTCAACTCAACTTTCCCAGTAGCTGGGATTACAGGTGCCACCACTGCTGGCTGTTTGTTTGTTTGTTTGTTTGGTAGAGACAGAGTTTGACTATGTTGCCTAGGCTGATCTCAAACTCCGGGGCTCCAGCAATCCTCTTACCTCGGTCTCCCAGAGTGTTGGGATTACAGGCCTGAGCCACCATGTCAGGCCCAACAGCGTGCAGCTTTCTGATGTGTGTGGACATTTGCACAAAGCTCTGGCCCAGGATTGGCCTCCTTGGCCACTTTTCGCACCCTTTTCTCCTTTTGCACCCTCCAGCCCCTCCCAGAGGAGACTGGGTCGGCTCCCGTTGCCTGGACACACGGACTTCTGGGTGCTGGTATTGACTGTGTGCTCTGCCAGCCACAGCACTTGGAGCCTTGCGTTAGGCGTGACTTCCGTTCCATTTTGCCAAATGGGGAAACTGAGGCTCGGGTGGGGGCCTGTTTGTAGTGAATGGGTAAGGAGCTAGACTCACCGCCAGCAGCCCTGACTCTGGCCCCGGGCCAGTGCCCTGCCGACTTCTGGCTTCACCCTTCCTCGCTAACAGAGACCACGGCACTTCTCAGCCTTCACAGCACAGCCCCCAGCGTCAGTGTCTCTGTCCACCTCTGTCCACATGTGCATTGGTATCCATACCACGGGACTTGTGGCTGGAGCCTGTGACCCTCCCTCGTGAGATGCAGGGCCTAGGCCCGTGTGGACTTGGTCTCCAGGCTTGTGGTTTGTTCAGCTGATGGCTGCCTGCCCAGGGCTTCTTGTATCGATGGGTTACATGTGCCATTCATTCTGATCGGAATGGAACTCTTAGCTCCAGATGGCAGGAAGCTGCGGTAGCTGTGTGCCAGGTGCCTGTGGGTATGGAGTCCCTGCTGGGTGGGGACATCCTTGGGAGCGCCTGGGTACTGCCAGCCTTTGCCCTGTGTCCATGTCCATGTAGCCTTCCTGGTTGGCAGTTGGGCACACTAATGTTTCTCCCCATCCCCTTCTCCTGACTACTCTCTGTGGTCCGCGTAACTCTTCTCCTCGTCTTTATTTTTGGTAGGAAATTCACTGTGTTGACAAATCTTAGGAAGAAACATTTTTCTCTGTTCCTTAAATAATAGTAATATTTGGCCAGGGGCAGTGGCTCATGCCTGTAATCCCAGCATTTTGGGAGGCTGAGTCAGGCGGATCTCTTGCGGTCAGGAGTTTGAGACCAGCTTGGCCAACAGGGTGAAACCCTGTCTCTACAAAAAATACAAAAATTTAGCTGGGCATGGTGGCAGGCGTCTATAATCCCAGCTACTCAGGAGGCTGAGGCAGGAGAATTGCTTGAACCCAAGAGTTGGAGGTTGCAGTGAGCCAACATCCAGCAGCTGCACTCTAGCCTGGGTAACAGAGCAAGACTCTGTCTCAAAAAAAGAAAAAAAAACAAAACAAAACATGATAGTAATATTCACAACAGCCGTAGCAACCACCACAGGCAGTGTCTGTGCTGGGTCTGTTGAGAGGACTACATTTGTGCTTTATCCTTGAAACCCATGCGGTAGCACAGTAATGACCCCATTTTACAAGGAAGGAAGCTGAGGTTCAGGAGGACCTGAGATGAAAGCCACCGTGGGCCGCTGGGGTGGGGATGTGTGCCCCTGCCCTGCTTCTGCTGCCCACTTCACGGAGGGACAGTGGGAGAGGAGACATCCTGTGTGTCTGTTGGTTCTGAGCGTTGCCGTTTGGGGTGAGTGCTTGGCTGCGGGCTAAGGGTTCCCGTGTGCTGGGCCAGGAGTGTTCCCACCTGGACGTCTGTGGGGGTGGTTGCTGCAGACATGGAGGGGCTCGTCCCTTCCTCGTGGGTCTTGGTCACTGAGGCCTGTGGTCGGGCTCGGGAGGCAGGATGCTCTCCCCCGACCCAGCTGCCCTTGCCTGAACTGGGCCTGCCAGGCCCTTCCTTTTGATGTCTCATCAATTTTTTGTTTTTGTTTTTGAGGTGGAGTCTCACTCTGTCCCCCAGGCTGGAGTGCAATGGGGCGATCTCGGCTCACCACAACCTCTGCCTCCCGGGTTCAAGCGATTCTCCTGCCTCAGCCTCCCGAGTAGCTGGGATTACAGGCGTGCATCACCATGCCTGGCTAATTTTTGTATTTTTAGTAGAGATGGGGTTTCACCATATTGGCCAGGCTGGTCTCAAACCCCTGACCTGAGGTGATCCGCTGTCTGGGCTTCCCAAAGTGCTGTGATTACAGGCATGAGCCATGGCACCCGGCCTTGTTCTGTTTTGTTTTTTTTTTTTAAACACCTTTATTGTGTTATAATTACCATCTCCTGCAGTTCACTCGTGTTAAGCAAATGATTCGCTGGCTTTTAGAATGCTCACAGTGGCGCAGCCAGTATCCGTTCTTTCAGTAAATCTTTATTGAGAAATAAATGATTCTTTTTCCTCCCAGAATAAACAGGTGCATGTGTCCATTGCTGTTCTGTGCCAGACACCGAGGATGTCATGGTGACTGGAGAGACAGGGTCCCTGCCCTCCATGGAGGGAGTCAGGGAGCCCGATGGTGGCCAGTGGCTTTCCTGGTTACCAGGGTCTGAATGATAGAAGCCCAGGGGCCAAGTGCTTCCTGAGGCCCAGAGAAAGACTTGGCCTGCAGAGGGCAGGGCGAGACCCGCAGAGCAGTACCCGGGAGTAGGGCTCCAAGAGGATGGTACTGTGCTGGGCCGACTGCTGGGGCCCTGGGGGCTGTGGGGAAGAGGGTGGCCTTCAGCCTGTGCACGGCAGGGTTGGGATGAAAGCAGGAGGAAGCTTCTCCTTGGACTCAAGCCAGCCTCGTGGTCTCCCTCGCTTGCCTTTTGTGTTTTCTGGGGCCAAGGCAGGTGCCTTCAAAAGTCACAGGGAGTTGCCCAGTGACCAGCACTTCCCCTCCAAGGCACGCACCCAGGAGAACCGAAAACGCGGTTCAGGCAGACACTTGAGCAGCACTGCTCACCGTAGCCAGGACGCAGGCCCAGTCCGGTGTCCGTCACGGAGGAATGCGTGCACAGCGTGTGGATGTCCACACAGTGCCTGTTATTTGGCCAGAAAAAGGAAAGCAGCACCGATGCGTGCTGCTCCGTGGGTGAACTTTGGAAACATACCTAGACAGAAGGTCACCTGTTGTGCAATTCCATGTAAATGACAGGTCCGAAAATGGCAAATCCCTTGAGACAGGAAGCACGTGGTGGCTTCTGAGGGCTGGGGGAGGGGACGGAGAGTGTATGGGTGCTGATGGCTATGCGTGGGGTTTCTGTTTGGGGTGATGAAAAGTTCTGGAAATGGATGGTGGCAGTTGCATGACATTTTAAATGTACTTAACGCTGTTGAAACGTGGTTAAAATGGCAGAGTTTATGTTTTATCTGTTTTAACACACACATTAAAAAGGTGCCAAGCCTGGCATCCACCTTTCCTGCTATCTCGAGGCATGTCCTCTGAGCTCTGCTGCTGCCTGCTTTCTCCAGCTCATCTGTTGACCGACTCCAGGCTTCCAGGCTTGGCTGTGTGGGTCCTGACCATTCTTGCCAACTCTCTCCTCAGCTGAACTTTGACCTGGACCGAGGCGTGTTTCCAGTGGTCATCCAGGCTGTGGTAGACGAAGGAGATGGTGAGTGCATCCTCTTCCATCCTCCTGGGCGTGCAGGCCATGCAAGGAGGAAGCGCGTCCTGAGGGAGGAGTGCTTGCAGCAGTGATGAAGCAGGCCAGGCACAGGGCCTTGGGCTCGCCACAAGGCGGGGTGTGTGGGCAGCTTGGAGTCTGGGGCAGGTGAGGAAGTGGAAAGTGCAGGAGGGCGGGTCCCAGAACAGACTCTGGACTCTGGACTCTGCGCAGGCTGAGCCCTTGGTGCCGCAGGCCTGCCAGGCTCGGGGAGGTGAGATGCCTGGGTGGGGCAGGCCCAGATTCTTGACTGCTCTGCCCCTTTCTCCCTAGCAGTGGTGGAAGTGACCGGCCATGCCCACGTGCTCTTGGCCGCCTTTGAAAAGGTAAGTGCCATCTGGCCATCACCTTCCCGAGGACCTGGGAGCTGGGCAGGGGGTGGTCTTTTGAGATAAGGCTGAGCAGGGGTTGGGGCTTCGTGGGGTGGCTGAGTGTCAAGGGCCAGGGGCAGGTGGGGGTGTGCCTGTGGCTTCCTGCTTTCCAGAATTCTGGTCCCGAGGCTGAGCGCCGCTGTCAGGAGGCTTTGCATTTGCTTTTTTTTTTTTTTTTTTTTTTTTTTCCTGAGACAGGGTCTCACTCTGTCACCCAGGCTGGAGTTCAATGACCTCGGCTCACTGCAACCTCTGCCTCCCCGGTTCAAGCAATGCGCCCACCTCAACCTCCCGAGTACCTGGGAGTACTATGTACCACCACGCCTGGCTAATTTTTGTGTGTTTAGTAGAAACAGGGTTTCACCATGTTGGCCAGATTGGTCTCCAACTCCTGACCTCAAGTGATCCACCTGCCATGGCCTCCCAAAGTGTTGGGATTACAGGCGTGAGCCACTGGGCCTGGCCTTTTTTTTTTTTTTTTTTTGGAGACGGAGTCTCGCCGTGTCATCCAGGCTGGAGTGGTGCGGTGGTGCAATATGTGCTCACTGCAACCTCTGCTTCTCAGGTTCAAGCGATTCTCCTGCCTCAGCCTCTAAGTACCTGCGATTACAGGCCCATGCTACTATGCCTGGCTAATTTTTTTTTTTTTTTGAGACAGAGTCTCGCTCTGTTGCCCAGGCTGGAGTGCAGTGGCGCAACCTCGGCTCACTGCAACCTCTGCCTCCGGGGTTCACACCATTCTCCTGCCTCAGCCTCCCAAGCAGCTGGGACTACAGGCGCCCGCCACCACACCCAGCTAATTTTTTGTATTTTTAATAGAGACAGGGTTTCATTGTGCTAACTGTGCTAGTCAGGATGGTCTTGATCTCCTGACCTCGTGATCCACCTGCCTCGGCCTCCCAAAGTGCTGGGATTACATACATGAGCCACTGCACCTGGCCACACCTGGCTAATTTTTGTATCTTTAGTAGAGACGGGGCTTTGCCATGTTGACCAGGCTGGTCTTGAACTCCTGACCTCAGGTCATCTGCCTGCCTCAGCTTCCTGAAGTGCTGGGATTACAGGTGTGAGCCACTGCGCCTGGCCTTTTTTAAATTTTATTTTATTTTTATTTTATTTTTTTTGAGATGACGGAGTTTCGCTCTTGTTACCCAGGCTTGGAGTGCAATGGCATGATCTCGGCTCACTGCAACCTCCACCTCTTGGTTCAAGAGATTCTCCTGCCTCAGCCTCACAAGTAGCTGAAATTACAGGTGTCCACCACCATGCCTGGCTAATTTTTTGTGTTTTTAGTAGAGATGGGGTTTCACCATGTTGACCAGGCCGTTCTCGAACTCCTGACCTCAGGTGATCCACCCACCTCGCCCCCCAACAGAGTGCTTGGATTATAGGCATGAGCCACCGCATCTGGCCATCTTTTTTTTAAACAGTTTCTCGCTCTGTTGCCTGGGCTGGAGGGCTGTGGTATGATCTCAGCTCACTGCAGCCTTGACCTCCTGAGCTTAAGAGATCGTGCCGCTTCAGCCTCCTGAGTCGTTGGGACTACAGGAGTACACCACCGTGTCTGGCTAATTTAAAAAAAAAATTGTTTTTATAGAGAGGAGGTCTTGCTGTGTTGCCCAGGCTGGTCTCAAACTCCTGGCCTCACGTGATCCTCCCACCTCGGCCTCCCAAAGTGCTGGAATTATAAGTGTGAGCCACCATACCTGGCCAAGACGCTTTTCAAAGGGTACTTGGAGTATGTCAAGGGAGAATGTTCTAGACTGAGGCCAGCCCTCTAGAATTCTGTGGAGCCTGCTGACACGGGCTGGGGCTCCCACAAGGTGGGCTCCCTGCGGTAGACTTACTTCACCCTGGGGTGTGCAGAGATCAGCAGTGTTGTTACCTCCTTGGGCTGTAGCCTTTTCCCACCAGGCTCAGTGTCCTTGGGTGTCACCTGGCACATGTCACAGAGCCCCAGTCCTGCTGCTCCTTCCCCCACCTGGCTGCCACATCCTGACCGTGCAGACTGGTCAGGCCCCACTCCTTGCAGGAGGCTTTTCCTGACACCACTCAAAACAAACATCTGTTGTCCCCGCTTGATGTTCACGAGGGCAGCCCTCTCCTCTTGGATGTCGTGGCATCCTCAGAGCTGAGTTTGACACCTGGCACAGAGCAGACACTCAGGGAACGCTGGCAGGATGGACGAGGGGCTGCTGCCCAGCTGGCATTGGTTTCTCTTGAAAACTTGGCGGAGGTGATGGGACGCATCCTTGTTTGTTAGTGCCTCGATGGCCCCCCCCAGTGTACACTGACGTTCATCAGCACCATGCCATTGCAGGTCTGCGTGGCACCATCCTGCGGCCCCGGAGTCAGGAGGGGAAAAGGATCCCGTGAGACAAGGCCCAGCCTGCCTGCTTTGGGCTTCACGCTGCCTCTGGGTCCTGCCTAGCCCAGGCTCTCCACCCACCTCCAGCCCCATGTGTGGCCACAGCCCCTGAGAACTCTAAGTGCAGAGTCCAGCTCCTCCCTGTTATCTGGGTCTTTCTAGAGCACCCCAAGGACGGGGGTTCTGTAAGCTCGGTAGAGGACCCTTGTCTGTGTGTCCTGTGACGAGGCTGGGTCTGTTCTCTCCTGAGTCCAGGACCACAGACTGTGGTGACGCAAGTGCCCCGGGCAGAGGGCAGCCTTCTGCCTTTTTAGCACTGGGCTCCCCAGCTTCTCTCCCCAGCCCGGCCTTGTCAGAAGCCATGGTGACTGTTGACACATCTGCCCCCTCTGGCAGAGGCAGATGGGCCATATCTGGCAAACCGGTCCATTTTGTGCTTCGAGTACAGAACCCAGTGGGAAACTGCTTTATTTTTGGAGTCCAGCATTCTGGAAATTTCTGTCAGAACCTGCCAGCCTCACCGGAAAATTCTGAGTGCTGGTCATGGTTGACTGAGAAGAGATAGGGAGTGCTGTTGCGAGGTCGCCGTAATTAACCTTGTCAAACTGTGAGCGGTGGTGTGTTTCCCTGGATACCACCGGGCACGCTTGTTCTATTTCGTTCCCGCGTTTTTAGAGCTCTGCGGTTCCCTGCGTGTGCACCCCTGTGGGTGCTCCCGCTCTGTCTTTCTAACTCAGCCGGGCCTTGGGAGAGCAGGAACCTGTTTTGTTTGTCTTGATTTTCGTTGCCAGGCGCTGCTTCTCGGTGTGCAGGAGGCCCTTGTCCATCAACTTGGCTGACGGGCCTTCAGCTTGAGTGTGCTTGAGACCAACCGAGGAGAGTTGGGTTCTGTGGGTCGGTGCAGGGTCCCAGGGCTGTATGTTCAGGAGGCTTCAGATAGTTTCACAGCCAGGCCTGAGGACCGTGTTTTGAGAAATCTTGGCTCTTTAGTTTTCAGGTGGCCCCATCCTTTTTTTTTTTTTCTTTTTCCAGCTACGGGCATGGATTGGCTGGGGCAGGGTGGCCGACCCTGGAGGCCACACGGGGTGCTCAGAGGCGCCAGCTTGACCACCTTAACCTCTGTGTCTTTCTCCCCTGCAGCACATGGATGGCAGCTTCTCTGTGAAGCCTTTAAAGCAGAAGCAAATCGTAAGTCATCAGAGGAAATACACACACACAATCCCATACATACTCATACATAGACACACACGAACACACGCACATATACTCACATACTCATACATAGACACACACACACAATCCCATACATACTCATACATAGACACACACACACAATCCCATACATACTCATACATAGACACACACACACATTCCCATACATACTCATACATAGACGCACACGCACAATCCCATACATACTCATACATAGACGCACACGCACAATCCCATACATACTCATACATAGACGCACACGCACAATCCCATACATACTCACACATAGACGCACACGCACAATCCCATACATACTCACACATAGATGCACACGCACAATCCCATACATACTCATACATAGACGCATACGCACAATCCCATACATACTCATACATAGACGCACACGCACAATCCCATACATACTCATACATAGACACACACGAACACACGCACATATACTCACATACTCATACATAGACACACACACACAATCCCATACATACTCATACATAGACACACACACACAGTCCCATACATACTCATACATAGACACACACGAACACACACACATATACTCACATACTCATACATAGATACACGGACTCACAGACACACGAACACACGCATATATACTCATACATAGACACACACACACAATCCCATACATACTCATACATAGACACACACACACAATCCCATACATACTCATACATAGACACACACACACAATCCCATACATACTCATACATAGACACACACGCACAATCCCATACATACTCATACATAGACACACACGCACAATCCCATACATACTCATACATAGACACACACACACAGTCCCATACATACTCATACATAGACACACACGAACACACACACATATACTCACATACTCATACATAGATACATGGACTCACAGACACACGAACACACGCACATATACTCATACATAGACACACACGAACACACGCACATATACTCACATACTCATACATAGATACACGGACTCAGAGACACACGAACACACGCACATATACTCATACATAGACACACACGAACACACGCACATATACTCACATACTCATACATAGATACACGGACTCAGAGACACACGAACACACGCACATATACTCATACATAGACACACATACTCATACATAGACACACATACTCATACATAGACACACACGAACACACGCACATATACTCAGACACACGGACTCACAGACACACGAACACACGCACATATACTCATACATAGACACACATACTCATACATACACAATCACATACATACTCGTAGACACATATACCCATACATAGACAGTCATACATAGACACACATACATAGACACACACGTACACACGCACATATATTCACGCACTCATAGACACACATACTCATAGACACACATGTACACATGCACATATACTCAGACACATTTGTTTGCACACATATACATAGACACATGCACATACACTCACATGTAGACACATATACACACACATACATAGACACACATACACATACATTCACACTCATACTCGCACACAGATACACACACACATACATACACTCACACTTACATATAATCACACACACATACTCATACACACAGTCACACACACGTACATAGACATACTCATACACTCAATCACGCACTCATACATAGACACACGTACATATACACAGTCACATACTCATACATAGACACATACTCATACATATTCACACACATACATAGACATACACAAATACATAGACACGTTCACTTCGCACACATACATAGGCACACACTGATACACTCACGCACTCACATGCATACTCATACACATGCTCATAGACACACATTCCCTCGCACACATATACACATACATACACACACATACACTCACGATCATTCGCACACATGTATATAGACACACAATCACGGACGTATACAAAGACACACATACACTCACATAGACACTCATACACACATATACAGACACCTACACACATACACTCACATAGACACTCATACACACATATACAGACACCTACACACATACACTCAGACACACACACACATACACACACAGACACATAGACACACACGTATAGACACACATACACTCACTCCTACTCACATATAGACACACACTCTTCAGTACTCTTCATGCACTGCTCTTCCTAGGCCACCCTTGCTGCCTTTGAAATAACTGTGCATGGCCGGGCGCGGTGGCTCAAGCCTGTAATCCCAGCACTTTGGGAGGCCGAGGCGGGCGGATCACGAGGTCAGGAGATCGAGACCACAGTGAAACCCCGTCTCTACTAAAAATACAAAAAATTAGCCGGGCACGGTGGCGGGCGCCTGTAGTCCTAGCTACTCAGGAGGCTGAGGCAGGAGAATGGCGTGAACCCAGGAGGCGGAGCTTGCAGTGAGCTGAGATCGCGCCACTGCACTCCAGCCTGGGCAACAGCGTGAGACTCCGTCTCAAAAAAAAAAAAAAAAAACAAAACTGTGCAGGGGCTGGGCACAGTGACTAACGTCTGTAATCCCAGCACTTAGGGAGGCCGAGGTGGGCAGATCACTTGAGCCCAGGAGTTTGATACCAGCTTGGCCAACATGGTGAGACCCTGTCTCTACTAAAAATAAAATTAACCGGGTGTAGTAACACATCTCAGTAGTAACACATCTCAGTAGTACAATCTCAGTAGAGGTTGCAGTGAGCCGAGATCATACCACTGCACTCCAGCCTGGGTGACAGAGTAAGAGTCTGTCAAAAAAGAAAAAAGATAGCTGTGCAAGAGCCTGTTGACTTCCCTGTAGAGCTCTAAGCTGTGGGACATTGGGCCCCTGTCTTGGGTGAGCGTATGTGTATTGCATGCCCACCATGTGCAGGGACTCTTGCAGGCCCTGAGTTCTGTCCAGTTTGGGCCATGGTGTCTGGAATATAGTGTTGAGTAAATATTTGCCGAATGAATGGATGGATGGAAAAGGAAGGAAAGAGACCAGAAACAAAGTCTGCAGCTCCTTCTCTTCCTTACAAGGAAGTATTGGACAGAGACTTGGCTTGACTTCATCAATACTTGAAGGATAAAATAGCCTAGAATAAATGGAGCTGTAGAGTAGTCCATCTGTTCTCTGGGGTCAGTAATCCTGGGATGCTGTATTGGGAAGTGTTGTTCCTGGTGGCCTCACGTGTAGGTGCTGAGGATTTAGAGGATGGGGTTCCCTAAACAGCAGTGTTAGATCTTGCAATGAGATGTCCTAGGCTGTGCTTAGTAGTTACCCTGTGTGTACTGTTGGGGCACGTAAGACCTATTTCAAGCCACCACTTGGGCATGATTTTTGTCAGCTTTTTATTTTTTTTATATTTAATTTAATTTTAATTTTTATTTTATTTTATTGAGACAAGACAGAGTCTCGCTCTGTCGCCCAGGCTGGAATGCAGTGGTGTGATCTCAGCTCACTTCAATCTCTGCCTCCTAGGTTCAAATGATTCTCGTGCCTCAGCCTCCCAAGTAGCTGGGACTACAGGTGTGTGCCACCACACTCAGTTAATTTGTTTTGTCTTGTTCTGTATTTTTGAGATGGAGTCTCACTCTGTTGCCCAGGCTGGAGTGCAGTGGCATGATCCCAGTGTACTGCAACCTCCACCTGCTGGGTTCAAGCAATTCTTCTGCCTCAGCATCCCGAGTAGCTGGGACTATAGGCACACGCCACCATTCCAGGCTAATTTGTGTATTTTTTGTAGAGATGAGGTTTTGGCGTGTTGGCCAAGCTGGTCTTGAACTCCTGGCCTCAAGTGATCCACCAGCCTTGGCCTCCTAAAGTGCTGGGATTACAGGTGTGAGCCACCGTACCCGGCCATCTGTTGGCTTTTTGGATGATAGGTTGTCCAGGTGCGGTGGCTCATGCCTATGATCCCAGCACTATGGGAGGTGGAAGTGGGAGGATTGCTTGAGCCTGGGGATTTGAGACCAGCCTGGGCAATGTAGTGAGACCCTGTCTCTATTTAAAATGTAGATCACAAATAAACAAAAGAGAGGTGGAGCAAACTCTAGCAGGTCCAGGTCCCTGCAGGTGCCAGGGGACTAGGAGACCCTGGTGGTGGGCAGGGCCTCGTGTTGAGGGAGCTGGCCAGCAGGCCCTGGGCTCCCTGGAGTGGTGGTCCTGGCCCGTGGTTCGCGGGAAACCCATCAGCACAGACTGCTTTGCAATGTGGTCAGTATGAGGCTTTTGGGTTGCGAGTGGGCGGCAGGACAGAATCAGCTTGGAGACATTGCTTTGGTGTCTTTGAAACCAGAGAGGCTTTCGTGTCTTGTGGAAGGAGGGTCTGGAAAGCAGTGAGCACCTAGGCTGCTGTCTGGTGCCTTTAGGCGTCGGCTCCTGCTGTCCTTGTGAGGCTGGTGGCGGTGGAACTGAGTGGTGTTGGGGGTGGTGAGGCGGTGGTGGTTGGGCCTGTGGGTTGGCTCCAGGTCCCCAGTGGTGGGGAGAGCCACCAGCTCCAGCCCTGTTCCAGGTGCTGCTGGTTGGGTGGGGGCAGGCAGCAGGTTTTCCCTGCGCCTTTCCTGGCCCCCAGGGGTTGAGCTGGGCGGGCCCCTGGGACAGAGGCCTGGAACCTTGGAGGCAGGGCTAGGCCAGGTGGGTGTGGAGGAGCCCTTACATGGCGGTTGGCAAGGGCCCAGCGAGCCCCTCTCTGCTCTCCAGGTGGACCGGGTCAGCTACCTCCTGCAGGAGATCTATGGCATCGAGAACAAGAACAACCAGGAGACCAAGGTGTGTACCTGGGTGAGGTTTCCCTCGCCCACACTGGGAGCAGCCGGGGGACAGCAACGCTTGCCAGTTCCCTTCCAAGCCTTCTCTGGAGTCCTAGACCACTAGACGCCATCATTTTTCCTTACTTTTTTTTTTAAAGCTAACACTTTGTGGAACATTTTGTCCTTTCTCCAGCAAATTCACTGGCTTGTTAGGTAAATTGCCATCCAGGTTCCCCAAGGCAGCCCAGGAATGGGGCCAGTGTCTCACCCTCCAGGCTCAGCTGTGTGGCACCCTGCCGCCCGGCTCCCCGTAGACAGCGTGTCCCTGCAGCTCCTGGGATGCCCTTTCTAGATGTCCATAGAACCGGCCGTGGTGCCTGACAAATATGTCGTGGTGGACCGCAGCCAGGGAACGTAGCAGGGGATGAAATTAGTCTTTTTGTTTCTGTTTTTGTTTTTTGAGTCAGAGTCTCTATCTGCTGCCCATGCTGGAATGCAGCAGGGAGATCCCAGCTCATTATGGCCTCTGCCTCCCGGGTTCAAGCGATTCCCCTGCCTCAGCCTCCCGAGTCGAGTCGCTGGGACCACAGGTGTGGGCCACCTCACCCGGCTCATTTTTTTGTATTTTAGTAGAGACAGGGTTTCACCATGTTGGCCAGGATGGTCTCGATCTCCTGACCTTGTGATCCACCCTCCTTGGCCTCCCAAAGTGCTGGGATTACAGGTGTGAGCCACCGCGCCTGGCCTAATTTTTAATTTGTGTATTTTTAGTAGAGATGGGGTTTCACTATGTTGGCCAGGCTGGTCTTGAACTTCTGATCTCAAGTGATCTGCCTGCCTCAGCCTCCCAAAGCTCTGGGATCTCAGGCCTGAGCCACTGCACCTGGCCGATGAACTTTTTTAAAGGCTCACTGCCATGAGTGAAACTCCTGCCTCTTAACATCTCTTGGAAAGTCTCACAGGCCCGCTTCATTGTGGCATCTGGGCCCAGCAAACTGGAGCAGCTCCACGTGGCGGGAGCAGAGCGCCTGGCCGGGCCTCGCCTCAGCCGAGGGCAGTCAGTGCATTCATGTTTCACACAAGGGGCGGCCGACTTTGCGAAAAGGGCCAGAGAGGGAATGTTTTCAGCTGCGCGGGCATATGGTCTCTGTTGCATCGACTCCACACGGCCATTACAACAGGAGCAGCGGGGACAGTATGAAAATGAGTGGGTGTGGCAATGTTCCAATAAGATTTTATTTACAGAAGCAGGCCACAGGCCTAGTTTGTGGGTAACTGGTTTAGATTTTTGGCTTTCTCTTGGTCCAGTTGCTAATGTGGTTTCTGGTAGCTGCCATTAATGAAAATATTTCTTTTTTTTTTTTTTTTTTTTTTGAGACGGAGTCTTGCTCTGTCCCCCAGGCTGGAGTGCAGTGGCCAGATCTCGGCTCACTGCAAGCTCCGCCTCCTGGGTTCACGCCATTCTCCTGCCTCAGCCTCCCGAGTAGCTGGGACTACAGGCGCCCGCCACCTCGCCCAGCTAGTTTTTTTTTTGTATTTTTTAGTAGAGACGGGGTTTCACCATGTTAGCCAGGATGGTCTCGATCTCCTGACCTTGTGATCCACCCGTCTCGGCCTCCCAAAGTGCTGGCATTACAGGCTTGAGCCACCGCGCCCAGCCTAATGAAAATATTTCTAACATACTTTTTTTTTTTTTTTTTTTTTTGAGGCGGAGTCTCACTCTGTCACCCAGGCTGGAGTGCAGTGGCACGATCTCAGCTCACTGCAAGCTCTGCCTTCTGGGTTCCCGCCATTCTCCTGCCTCAGTCTCCTGAGTAGCTGGGACTACAGGCGCCCGCCACCTCGCCCACCTAATTTTTTGTACTTTTAGTAGAGACGGGGTTTCACCATGGTCTCCATCTCCTGACGTTGTGATCCACCCGCCTTGGCCTCCCAAAGTGCTGGGATTACAGGCCTGAGCCACTGCGCCCGGCCCTAACTTGGTTTTTTTAAACCAAATGATACGGGTGCGCTGACTCTCAGGAAGATGTTTCTTAGGTGCATCTCTTCCACATTTTTTTTTGGGGTCTGAAGAGCAGGAAGAGACCATGTTCTCATGATTTGGGTGGGTGAGGGGCATAGACCCCGCCCCCCCGCCAGGTGCTGACTTTACACTGGATTTGAGCCTGGTGGTTCTGCTATGGGGCAACCTCCCCCCCACTCTGGACTTCTCTTTGTCATGACTGCCCCCGGGGCAGGGTGGAGTGGGGTGGGACAGCTGGGGACAGGAAGCAGGAGCCCTACTCTGGCCCTTGGGAGGCTGCTGACCCACAAGCCCTTGTCTCCGCAGCCCTCGGACGACGAGAACAGTGACAACAGCAATGAGTGTGTGGTGTGCCTGTCCGACCTACGGGACACGCTGATCCTGCCCTGCCGCCACCTGTGCCTCTGTACCTCCTGCGCTGACACGCTGCGCTACCAGGCCAACAACTGTCCCATCTGCCGGCTGCGTGAGTGCCCTGGCGGGCTGTTCTGTGGATGGTTCTGGAAGTTAGGGACTGGCCACACCACAGTAGTTGTGGCCTAGGGGGCCACAGGTCCCTTGTTGGCTAAGAAAGAAAAGAGTCGTCATTTATCCGGTCTGTGCTGAACTCGGGCGTGTTGGCTGTCAGAGTCAGTCACCATGAAAGCTGGCAGGGACGCTAGCACGGGGCATTCAGATCTTCACGTCTGCCTCCAGCCAGGCAAGGCTTGCAGAACAAAGGGCTACAGAGGCGCTCCAGGGCAGATGAACGAAAATTAATCAGTGAATGAAATCTTTATTCTTATTTTATTTTTATTAATTTTTGTTTGAGATAGTTTCATGCTGTCACCCAGGCTAGAGTTCAGTGGCGAGTTCTCGGCTCACTGTAACCTCTGCCTCCTGAGTTCAAGCAATTCTCCTGTCTCAGCCTCCCTAGTAGGTGGGATTGCAGGCGCCCGCCCCCCCCCGCCCGCCAGCTAATATTTTACTTTTAGTAGAGATGGGATTTTGCCATGTGGGCCAGGCTGGTCTTGAACTCCTGGCCTCAAGTAATCTGCCTGCCTCAGCCTCCAAAGTGCTGGGGTTACAGGCGTGAGCCCCAATGCCTGGCTTTTTTTTTTTTTTTTTTTGAGATAGAGTCTCGCTCTGTCACCCAGGCTGGAGTGCAGTGGCACAATCTCGGCTCACTATAACCGCCACCTTCCGGGTTCAAGCAATTCTCCTGCCTCAGCCTCCTGAGTAGCTGGAATTACAGCTCTGCACCACCACGCCCAGCTAATTTTTGTATTTTTAGTAGAGATGGGGTTTCACCATGTTGGTCAGGCTGGTCTTGAACTCCTGACCTCGTGATCTGCCTGCCTTGGCCTCCCAAAGTGCTGGGATTATAGGCGTGAGCTACCGCGCTGGGCCCTAGTTTTTTGTTTTTAATTACTTTTATTTATTTATTTATTTAGAGACAGAGTCTTACTCTGTTGCCCAGGCTGGAGTACAGTGGCAGGATCTTGGCTTACTGTAACCTCTGCCTCCCAGGTTCAAACGATTCTTGTGACTCAGCCTCCTGAGTAGCTGGGATTACAGGCGTGTGTCACCACGCCCAGCTATTTTGTTTTTTTTTTTTTTTTTTTTTTTTTTTTTTTTTTTTTTTTTGAGACGGAGTCTGCTTGCGCCCAGGCTGAGTAGTGGGGATCTCATCACGCAGCTCCGCTCCCGGTTTACGCCTTTCTGCCTCAGCCTCCGTACTGGGACTACGGCCACCCTCGCCGGCTATTTTGTATTGTAGACGGGTTTCACCATATTCCAATGGTTCGATCTCTGCCTGTCCGCCCGTCTCGCCCAAAGCTGGGATTACAGGCTTGAGCCACCGCGCCCGGCCCACGCCCAGCTATTTTGTGTATGTTTAGTAGAGACGAGGTTTCACCATGTTGCCCAGGCTGGTCTCAAGCTCCTGACCGCAAGTGACCCGCCTGCCTCGGCCTCCCACAGTGCTGGGATTACAGGCAGAGCCACAGCTCCCGGCCTTGTTCTAAATTTTTTTTTTTCTAGAGACAGGGTCTTGTTATGTCGCCCAGGCTGGTCTCAAACTCTAGGGCTTAAGTGGTCCTCCTGCCTCCTAAAGTGTTGGAATTATGGGCATGAGCTACCATGCCAAGCTCAGATCTTTATTTTAAAGGTAAAATAGAAAATATTTTGATAAATTTCTAGCATAAAGTTGGTTGCGGATCACACCTATAATGCCAGCACTTTGGGAGGCCTAGGCAGGAGGATTGCTTGAGCCCAAGAGTTCGAGACCAGCCTGGGCAACATGGTGAAACCACATCTCTACAGAAAGTTTAAAATTAGCCAGATGTGTTGGCTATAGTCCCAGTGACTTGGAAGGCTGAGGCAGGAGGATCAATTGAGCCTGGGAGGTTGAGGCTGCAGTGAGCTGTGATTGTGCCACCACTGCACCCCAGCCTGAGAGACAAGGGAAGACCCTGTTTCCAAAATATAAGTATAAATAAATAAATAAATAAATAAATAAATAAATATATATATATATATATATATATAGTGTGAGGTGAAAACAGAAAGTATACTGGGTAGAAAATTGTCCAGTGAATTAAATTGCGTTTTCTAGAGCACTCCAGACATTTCCTCAGTGAAAAGCCGTTGCATAGGGCCCCGTTCTGAGTGTCTTCCAGTAGAGGGAACCTGAATGTTCTCAGGGTGAAAAAACCACCAGGTTAAAATGCGCATCCCGCTGGCAGGCCCGTGCCCTGGTTCCTGGGATCCCTGGCGTGGGTCCTGGCAGCTGGACCGGGGCGTGGGGGGGATTTGCCTACGCAGCTGCAGGACATGCGCACTTAGTAGACCAGCAGACCTCTGAGCCAGGCATGGGGCTGTGCGAGGACGCTGTTCTGTGCAGTCAGGCCATGGGGTCACGAGAGGTGTCCAGATCCCAGGAGGAAGTGAGGAGGCTGCTGGGGCCTGGAGGGAGAGGCTGGCCGCCCAGCCTGTGGCAGATCCTGTAGCAGGGAGGGCTGGCCCAGGCCTCTCTGGTCTGTCAGCCTGTGCTGTCTGAAAGCCACAGAGTTGTGGGGGCGGGGACCAGGAAGTGGGGCCAGGGGTGGGCTGTCTGGGAAGGTTCTCTGTGCCTAGGAGGCAGGCATTGTTGAGGACTGAGCCTCAGGGATGCTGTGTGGCTGGAGATACAGCAGGGCTGCTTTCCAGGGAGGGTGCCCTGAGCCGAGTGCAACTCTGGAATCTTCAGGTGTGTGGGGTCTGTGGGTCGGGGCCGTCAGACTCGAGTTCAGAGCCCCCGTGTGGCTTTGAGCCTCAAGGAGGTGGCAGTAGAGGTGCCCCTCACAGGCGGCCGAGGACAGGGCCTGCTGTTCTCAGTAGAAATGAACACAGAGGCGGCCTGAGGTCCTGTCCCTGGGCTGACTGCAGATGCTCTCCCGTTTTGGTTTGCTGGAAGTGGCTAGTTTGGTTTGGTGGTTTGGTGAATTGGTTTCCTGGCCTGCATACATCACTAAAGGTGTCTCAGGAACATTCTGCAGCAGCCTGTGGGGCCCTTGTGTGAGCAGGACTGGCACTGTGGGATGACGGGGCATCCTAGGTCCTGGTTTATCTTCCCTGCTCCCAGTGGCTGCTGTGTGTGCTCCTCGGCTTCCCCAGTGTGATGTTCTTGCCTCAGTTTCCCCAGCGTGACTCCCCACCTCAGCTTCCTCAGCATGATGTCCTTGCCTTAGTTTCCCTAGCATGACATCTCCACCTTGGCTTCCCCAGTGTGATGTCCCCGCCTGCCATCCTGTCCAGCAGCCAAGAGCTCCTCTGGGCTCAGCCAGGACTGCTGATTTGCAGTCACATCCTGTCTCGGGTGCAGCCTGGAGCTTCAGGGGTGTGACGCCTTGGGGGTCTTGGCACCAGCCTCTTGGAAACACCCTCTGGAGCCCCGCCTTGGGCAGCACTGCGTGGCCTCGCCGTGTCTCCTGTCCGGGGCCATTTCATTAATACTGTGTTTGCAGAGATTCTGTCTCTCGTCTTTGGAGCCCCCCTCCCTGTACAGGCGAGCTTCTTTCTTTCTTCCCCCTTTTTTCTTGCCTATTAAACCGCCTTTTAAAACTGAAAAAAAAGAAAAACTGTGTTTGTTCTGATGTGGAAGCGGGGTTGCCCTGGGACCCCTGTGGTGTGTGGGGGGTGTTGATCCCTGGGGCTTCGAGGGTCCCCTCGGGGCTGGGTGTGTCGCCCGGGCCTGATCCGAGCCCTCCTTCTGCCGCAGCTTTCCGGGCCCTCCTGCAGATCCGGGCGGTGCGGAAGAAGCCAGGAGCCCTGTCCCCCGTGTCCTTCAGCCCTGTCCTGGCCCAGAGCCTGGAGCACGATGAGCACTCTGTAAGTGCCGCCTCCTGCCTGCGGGATGGGCGGGCGCGAGAGGGGTGTGAGTGCCTGGGCCAGGCCCGAGGCCCAGACGGTCCAGCCGGCAGCCCCGTGTTCTCATCTGTCCAGTGAGCAGGCTTGGCCCCCATGGGTGACCATGAGGCATGAAGGGGGTGGCCAGGCTGGGCCCTGGGATGCCGCTGCTGGGAAGAGTGCTGCTGCCGTCAGTACCCAGAGCCTGCGACAGGGCTGAGCGCAGTCGAGGTCTCCAGGTGCTTTTTTTTTTTCTTTTTAAGGCAGGGTCTCACTCTGTCACCGAGGCTGTTGTGCGCCCAAGGTGGTGCAATCTCAGCTCACTGCAGCCTCGACCTCCCAGCCTCAAGCGATTCTCCCACTTCAGCCTCCCAAGATGCTATGGCCACAGGCGTGCACCACCATGCCCAGCTCATGTTTTGTATTTTTAGTAAGATGGGGTTTCCCCATGTTGCCCAGGCTGGTCTCAAACTCTTGGGCTCAAGTGCTGGTCCTGCTTCAGCCTCCCAAAGTGCTGGGATTATAGGCCTGAGCCACTGCCGCTAGCCCGTGGTTCTTAGTGAATGAGCCGTGCTCTTTCCCTCATGAGTTGCTGTGCAAGGGGCGCTGGTGACCCTCCTCCCACGCTCCAGGCCCTCTAGGCTCCCTCACCGGGGACCTTAAGGGCAGACCCTGCTTCAGCCACACAAGGAGGTGGAACCCTGGCTCTCTCCAAGGAGAGAGACAGAGACACGGAGAGAGATGCACAGAGAAATACAGGGACGGGGCGAGAGAGAGGTAGAGAGACACGGGGAGAGACAGAGACAAATATGGAGAGACACAGACAGGGCAAGAGAGATGTGGAGAGAGAAAGGGAGAGAGACAGATGTGGAGAGACGGGGAGAGAGATGGAGAGATAGGAAGAGACAGATGTGGAGAGACACGGGGAGAGACAGAGACGGGGATGGGTGGCAGGGGCTCTGGTGGGCGGGGAGCAGAATGGGGGAGTTGGACAGTGACTGGCTGGGCCTGGGTCTCAGGCCCGCTGCTCCCCACTGGCACGTGCATTGTCAGATTGAGTCATTTTCTTGGCTCTTAGCTGCAGCTGTTTGGAGCCGTTGGTTCTTCCAGGCCTGCTGCCTCTCTAAACAGAAAAGAGGAGCAGAGCCCCGAGGACTGGCGTTCACAGACACCGCCTTTGCTCTTGAAGGCTCCTCGCAAGCTCCCTTGATCAGGGCCTTGACCTGGGCCCCGTGGGCCTCCCTGGCAGTAGGTGCAGTGTTTCTGAAATGGGACCAATTTCAAAAGTCTGGAATTTCCCTTAAAACCCAGAGTTTGGGATTGTCTTTTAAAATCTGACATGGTCTTGAAGCTAGAGGAGAAACATGGCTTGGGGGTCCCTGTCAACCCGGGTGCGCTAGGTCCCTGCCATTGTGGGGCTCCTGGGACTATGCCCTCCGCACTTGTGATGTTGACTTTGATTTGGAAACGCTGTGTGCGCTCAGGTTTTTGGTGGCGAGCGAAGCAGCCCCTGAGGGATTTGCCTCTGAGAGAGTTTCCTCTCTCAGGCAGGGAGAGATGTATGCTCAGGCATGGCTAGCTTTATTGTCACTTGTTTTTGCCCCGCCCCGTTTGTGTCCTGGTGGCTGAGGGCCCAGTAGGCCCCTCTATGTTTGTCCCTCTTAGGCTGAGCTGAGATTCCCCTACAGTGCAGGGCGGCCGGGGTCCGAGGTGTGACCAGGCAGCTCTGACCTTCAGCCACCCAGGGAGCCGTCCTCCCCTCTGCACGGAGTGAAAGCAAATGCTCCTCGTCACCTGCCAGGTTCCTGTCGGAGCCGATTCCACATAGTGCCAGAAACAGCCACCACGGGCGTTCTGTCCAGCGAGTCCCTAAAGATGATGGTGGGTGGGTGGGTCTGGGGCTGACTCTTCTCCCCAGTCCTCTTGAGGGGTTTGTCATTGTGATGAGTTAGCACCAGTGCCTGGGCACTGGCTGGGGGACTTTGACCGCAGTGGCTTCAGGATCCCTGCCCTGCACCCACCCCACATTAGGGAGCGTCCAGCTGCCCTCACGTCCACCTTGGCCCAATCTGCTGCCCAGGTGACCCAGACTGTGAGGGGCCAGGCACTGCGGGTGAGATTGGGTTCCACAGCCTCCCCACTCCAGCAGCACAGCTCCTGGGAGCTCCCTAGATGCACACGTGGCCCGCCCAAGGCCCGAGTCAGAACCCGCACTTAGGACGTTCCCAAGATTCACGTCCACTGGAAGCTTTTGAAGTTCTGGGCCGCGGTGTGGCGAAAGGACAGCCAGCCAGAGAGACCTGTCCAGCCCACTCCAGGGCCACGTGGGGGTGGTGGTTGTAAAACATTTGATTTTTATCTTGACAGTGTCCCTTTAAAAAATCAAAGCCGCACCCCGCCTCCCTGACCAGCAAGAAACCTAAAAGGGAAACAGTAAGTGTCTGGTCCTCCGGCTGCGTTTTTTTGCCCCGCCCTCATTTTTAAGTCCATGACAAGTAGGGGAGATGGTTTCCGCCCCAGGCTAGTGTCTGATTCGTGTAACCCATCCGCTCTGCTCTCCCGGTCACGGCCTCCCTGCTCAGGGAGTTTGTGGAACCAGAAAAGCCTCGGTCTGTGGGCGAAATGCCAGGCTCGCTGGCCCCGCCGCCCTCCCCTCAGCTTTGCCTCCGCCCCGCGTGGCCCCCGTGCCGTTTCCCTTTTTTTTCTTGCTGGCAGTGGAATGGACATTGCAGGCGGAACTAATGTCGCTGCTGCGTGTTGCAATCGCGCCCCACGCATGCTTCTCGGCCCCGCGTCCCACTCCTTCACCCTGCGGGTTCGAGCTCTTTGGGCTGAGGACTTTGGTTTTCTTGGGCTGTCCCTGTGCCCCAGGGAGCAGGCAGGGGGACCAGCACATGACTAGCTGGAGCCTCCGTGGCCCAGGCAGACCCAGCCGAAACCTTGCGGGCCTTGGTGTAGAGAGGTGGAGGCCTCTCCGGAACCACCCAGAGCGCATTTTCCTTTCTAGAGGGTGAGGGGTTTCTGTGTAGTTATTTATCTTTAACTTGGAGGCAGGTACGGGAGCAAATGTGGGGGACATAAAGGTCCAGAAAAGCATCCCAGGCTCAGGGCCTGGGCCATGCCCACTCCCCGATTTCTCCCCCAACTCCCCGTGGTCCCCAGGCACCCCCCCCATTTCACCTTCCCTTCCAGGAGCTCGGTCAGGCAGGCCCGGCTGTCCTGAAGGGAGCAGTGACTAGCGGTTTGCCCCTCAACCTGGTTTTGTGGGGACAGAGCAGGGGCCCCTGTAGTCTGACTTCCGTTCCCCAGAACCTGAGCATTTTCCTTCTTCCTCAGCCTTGTCGATTCTGCTCCCAATGAGGGGAGAACAGTGGCTCTTAGCCACGGCACCCATTAGAATTGCCTGGAGGAGGCCAGCCCCCAGAGGCCCGGGCGGGGCACAGCTCCCGACAGCTCAGCTTTCCCCGGTCCAGGACACCCCGACCGTGTCTCTCGCCTCTGGCATGGCTTTGCTCTGCCCCTGCTCCCAGCTCCTGTCTGTCACTAACCCTTCACTCTCCACCTGTGGCCAGGCGGGACTGAAAGCCAAGGAGGGGCTGGTTGAGGCCAGGGCTGGGGCGGCTCTTGGCAGATGCCCTCGTGCCCATCATCCCGGGCACCAGCATGGGCGTTTGGGCATCTGGCCCCGTGCTGGAGCTGATGGCTGAGGCAGGGAGTGTGTCAGTGCTGCCAGGGAGCTCTTGGCCACCCTCTGAGGATGGGGGAGTCTCAATCCCCCAAAGGACAGAGTGGACAGGAGGTCATCAGGAGGAGGGTCTGGGGAGCAGGTGGTCCCTGGGCATGAGCCCCCTCACGCACCCTGTCCCTACAGAGCTCTGACAGCGTCCCACCTGGCTACGAGCCCATCTCGCTGCTTGAGGCGCTCAACGGCCTCCGGGCTGTCTCCCCGGCCATCCCCTCGGCCCCTCTTTATGAAGAAATCACCTATTCAGGCATCTCGGACGGCCTGTCCCAAGCCAGCTGTCCGCTCGCCGCTATTGACCACATCCTGGACAGCAGCCGGCAGAAGGGCAGGCCGCAGAGCAAGGCCCCCGACAGGTGAGCGGCAGCCGGGCTGGGTGCATGGCGGGGGGTGGTGCCACGTGTGTGCAGCGGGCGTATTTGTGGTTTCAAATCACTTTATGATGTGTTCCTTGTGATCCCCCAGAAGGACTCAGAGACCCCACATCAGGTTAGACTCGTGGATAAAGTTTCTTACAGCAAAGAACGCAACAGATGAGGCAGGAAGGGCGTCCGGGCAGCCGGAGGCTTTGACCCCCCACCAGGGCTACACCGGCGTGCAGGCGCATACACACTGTCGAGCGGGAAACTGCAGGGGTCAGTGCTGTGTCTCTACTGAGGGGAGCCCCTTTGAGCCTCTGGGTTCCCAGACTTCACTGGGGGACTGGCCACATAGGCCCACTCTGCGGGTGACCAGCCAGGGCATCTGAAACTCGGGACCTGACAGTGACCCAGGCACATTCACTGCTCTTGCCGTTCGCCCGTGACAAGCCACGGGGCGTCGCTCTCCAGGCGATGATTGCATCATCCATCACTCATACGACAGACTTCCGAGGGCCCGGCTCCTGGGGTTGGCCACGGCTCATTTGTGGTTCCCCTGGAGCCTCGAGGTGTCTAGAGCGGCGGCTGCCAGGGGAACTCCGTGCCTTAGGCCTGTCGGTTCTCGTAGAAGAGTTTCAGGAAGGCGGGGTTCTGTAGGGCCGTCCTGGGCACCCTCCATGCCCACGAGGAGGCAGTGCCAAAGCTCAGAGGAAAGGGGGCCTCTGTCCCTGCTGCTTCTACCCGGGAACCACCAGCGGTTTCTCCTCCTTCAGAAAGAAAAGGAAACCCAGACCTGTGCCAGTGTGTGGGAGCCCTCTGTCAGGCGGGTCTGTGGGGGCCGCTGCTGCCTGTTGGCCGTTGGGGTTGGCCCCCGTGGCTGGTGATGCCCTTCTCCAGGCAGTGCCCTTGTGTGGGTTCTGGCAGGTGTGTGCAGGCCCCCAGGTGCCCTGCGTGGCTTTGGTAGGGTTAGCCTTCCTTGTTGCTGTCCTCTCACCCCTGCCCACCCTCCTCTGTCCCCAGCACCTTGCGGTCCCCGTCTTCCCCCATCCATGAAGAGGATGAGGAGAAGCTCTCCGAGGACGTGGACGCCCCTCCCCCACTGGGTGGTGCAGAGCTGGCCCTGCGGGAAAGCAGCTCCCCTGAGGTGAGGCCCCCCCAGGGAAGCTTTGTGTGCCCGCCCTGGCCAGCCCTCCTCCAGCTTCTGTCGCCAGAATCAGAGCCCATCCCACTGCCCGCCTGGGCACTCCCGCACTTCTAGGCCCTTGCTGAGCTGCGTGGCTCCTTAGCCTCGGTCTGTGGATGCAGCAGCCCCGGTGGAGCGGCTCTGTGGGTCCCGGGAGGGCCATACCTGATGGCGGCTTGTCCTGGAGGGGTGGCCGAGGCTCTCTCTGAGCTCCAGGCCACTTTACGCTTTGTTTTCTAGAGTTTCATAACAGAAGAGGTTGATGAGTCGTCATCACCAAAACAAGGTGAGCCCCTCCTTCCGTGGGTACAAACCGCATGCAGAGACCAGGCAGCCCTGGCTCACTGGGGTCTTAGGGCTCCAGGTGGCGTTGGGCCAGCACCTCTTCTGCCCCAGGAACCCTTGGCCAAGAGGCCTCTCTTGGCGGCACTGGGATCCCGGCTGGGAGGGACTGAACGGGTGACAGGGTCAGGCCGCGCTGTTCGCCCTGCAGGGCCGTCTGCCTGGGATGGGGAGCACCTGCCAGCGTTCAGTCCTTGTTTCGAAACATGAATGTGTGATGTTTCTATGATCAAAACAAAAAAGCCTCATGCTCTGAACATCCGGGACACAGTGTGAAAAAGGGGAAAAAAAGCCCCGTGCGGGGGATGGGAACGAGGGAAATAGACGAGAAACACCTGGCTTTGGGGTCCCTGGAGAGCAGGTGGGGTCACGGTGGAGTCCTGCTGGAACCCAAGCCTGGGGCCCCCACAGTGGCTACAAAGCTCTTGGGTAAGACGGCCCTGAGCCTCCTGCCCGGAGGGACCTGCCGGGACCTGGCCCCTGCCTGCAGATCCCTGACCTCGCCCTCCACCTTCAGGGACCCGAGCGCCTTCCATTGAGAACGTCCTGCAGGACGGCAGCCCCGAGCACTGTGGCCGCGGCCCACCTGCTGACATCTACCTGCCAGGTAAAGGGACTGGGGTCTGGGGGTGAGGGGCTGGGTGCCTGTCTCAGTGTCCAGGGGGGGCCCTGCTCTGATGGTCGGTGCATAGCAGCAAGGGCTGGTCCATGAGAGCCCAGTTCTCTCCCTGGCTCTAAGCCATGCCCCTGCTATTGACCCTGAAGCAGGATGCGGGCCAGGGCCACGGCCGCAAGGCAGCCTCGTGCAGGGCCTGGCCCTTCCCTCCCCGGGGCCACCTTGGCCACAGGAGGCGAGAGAGGCTGCCTGTGAGAGGCTGGGGTCCTTTTCCCTCTGCCTCCTGCTCCCTGCCAGGAGGGCAGATCCAGCCCCTCTGGGATCACCACATCTTCCCCCACCCCTGGTCGTATCAGGCGTCCACAGGCCCCCTGCTGGGTGCCAGGTGAGCTCCTGGCAGTGCCTGAGAGCTGCAGACAGAGCAGGAGCAGGTGCCACATGCTGTGCTGGGTAGCGGGGGCCCTGGGCCACAGAGAGCAGGGGCAGTGTCTTCTGGGTCACCCTGCCCCAGGCCTGACATAGGCCACCTGATGCAGCAGCACATCCCAGGCCAGGGCACAGAGGACAGGCGGGGGCACCAGGCGCCAGCGGGGGGCAGCAAGACCGGGAGAAAGGGTTCCTCTTTTCACCTTGTCCAGAGGCTTGGGCCCAGGCCCGGTCAGCTAAGCACCTTTGTGCTCTGCTCTGCTAGGATAAGATCCTCAGTTTCGCATCCTAAGCTCCAAAGACCGGGAGGGAAGCGGGGGCTCTCAGACTTGTGTCTCAGCGCCTGCCGCGAAGCTGTCTGTGGCTCTGAAACTGGGATGAACAGCTACAGCGGTGCGTTCAGACATGACCCCAGAGCCACTGCGTAGGGGCAGGGCTCCTCCCTTGCGGCTGCCAGGCCTCCTCACCCCCTTCCTGGCCCCAGGGCCCACCATTGCTCAGTCCTCCTGAGTCACCCGGTGACCTGGGCCTGGCTTTGGGTGGCTGTGACGTGCTTTAGTTGGAAAGGGGCTCTTGTGTCTCTGGACTCTGGCTGAGCAGTGGCCTGTGCTCACGGGCTGGGAATGACAGGCTACAGGAGCAGGCACTGCCTCTGGTGCCCTGACGGCCACAGCAGCCTGCCCCCAACAACTCACAGCACAAGGCGTGTTTAGGACCAGCTTACCTTAAAGTGACACAGAATTCAAGTAAGGTCTTTCAAAGGACCTCAGATATTTCATTCTGATGAAAAACTTGGGGGGTGATCGGGGAGGGGCCAGGAGGACCTCAGCTTCTGGGAGCCACGAGCGTGACATCTGATCCTGCAGGGTGGCCCCGTGGGGCAGCATCTCGGAGGCTGCGCCTCCCCTATGTGGCCAGGCCTGGGAAGGATCAGGACAGCCACTGCCGGCCCACACAGATGAGGCCAGGACTCCGAGTCTCATGCCCCACTCCCAGGGGAGGGTCTCCGGCCTTCTTCAGGTCCACAGACGGGGGCAGGCAGCAGTCATCTGTGGAGGTGGCAGAGGAGAGGCCGAGTCTACATCGGGGCAGCCTGAGGTGAACTCCTGGGCCCCGGGCCCCCTCTTGGAGTCGGCTGCTGCTGAATGCCAGCAGGTCAGCCTGACGGCCTCGGTTCTGAGCCACGGAGAGCGCATCTGCCTTTGGGGGCCATGTGGCGCCATCTCCATGGCTGTCAGCCTTGTCAGCACAGGTTTCTGTGTGTTTTTAAATCCATGTGGTGGCCCCTCTGTTCCAATGGCTTTTTCACTTGTCAGAGCCCTGGACTGTCTCCGTGTCTGTGTGTAAGGCATGATCACACACAGGAGCCTGTGGTTTCTCATAGGGGTGCAGCCGCTGCCTGGCGGGGTGGGCAGCTTCAGTGAACCCTGGTGTCCCTGTAGATGGGAGGGCCCCTGAGATGGTGAACCCCGGGACCCTGGTGTCTTGGAGTTTCCCTGGGCTCAGTCCTGTCTGGCCCCAGCCCCCCACCCAGGGCCTTCACTCCTGAAACCAGAGGTGGACTTCGCCCGCCAGGTCCTTCACGCGCCCTTCCCTAGGCTGCGGCGGTGGGAGCTGCAGGAGGGAGGGGCAGGGCCAGTGCACTCCTCTGCATTGAATTCTGGCCGCGCTCTGCCTCCCAGCTGTGGTTCTCCTTCTGGGTTCTCTGTGGTTGCAGCAGAGCATTTGTTTCTACATGGCCTTGACCCTGTCCCCAAGCTGGTGCCCTTGCTGTGGCTGTGCCGGCTGCTGCGCGCTTGCTAACCGAGCTTCCGTCTGTCTCTCCTCCTCTCCGCGCAGCCCTGGGGCCCGACTCCTGCTCTGTTGGTATAGACGAGTAAGCCGGTACGTGACCTTCCAGACGCGCTTCGGGGGCTCTGACGCGCGTCCTTGGAGAGAGGAGCCTCCCCTGCTCTCTGGCGGGGTTCCGTCTGGTTTTCGGGTCTTCGTCCGCATCCGTCTTCCCAGGGGCCCTGGATTCCGAATCCAGAGCTCTCCAGTGGCTGCTGCACCTTTGCCCAAGAAAGTGGCCTCCTGGGGGGTCCCGACTTTTGGGGCCAGAGGGCTCTCCATCTGGACTAGGCGGCCAGTCAGGCTCTTCTTCCAGCCTTGAGGGGCTCTGGAACAGTCCCAGCCCAGGCAGGGAGACACACCCAGCCCAGGCGCGCCAGAGCCACTGTCCCCTGCAGGAGGCAGGAGCTTGAAGGATCAGGGCAGCACCGTGGAGGGAACCCCAGGGAGATTTGGGATGACGTGTACCGAGGGGAGAGCCCCAGGCCTGGGTCTGGCCTTGTTCCCGGTGGTTCCACCATGAGTTCCCATCGGTCCTGCAGCAGATGCGTTAGGGCGCTTGGCAGGTCCTCTCCCGTGTTGTGGTCATGGCTTTAAGTAACAACTCATGGGGAAAAGAATGCGCCCCAGATTGGGAGAGCCCCTGTATCACCTGTTTCCAAGCTCAGTTCCCGTCTCTTGGAGGGAGTCTGTCCTTGAGGGGCCCTCTGGTGCCCAGGGCATAGTATCTTGTATCCTGTCCTGAGGGCGTCCGCTCACACAGCCACCTGCTCCCTCCTTCCCTTGTCAGCATGGCCTCCGTGGGCCTGGCGTCACCGTGGGCCTGGCAGAGAGTCCCTTGTGAGCTGCCTTTGTGTCATGAGCTGCCGACTCACTTGTCCCTCCCAGTACTGGAACCTTCTGGAACACCAGCACTTAGTGATAGAAGGCCCTGTGAGGCTGGCACTCCCCTTTCCCCCCCCCAAGAGGCCCTCCCCATCCCGCACAAGAGGTGCCCTCTACCAGGGTGGCCAGGTGAATGTTTTACAGAAGGCCGCTCTGGCCAGGCAGTGGTTCACACCTGGAATTCCAGTACTTTGGGAGACCAAGGGGATAGATCACTTGAGCCCAGGAATTCAAGATCAGTGTGGGAAACAGACCCCCTCTCTATAAAAAATAAAAAATTGGCTTGGGCGTGGTAGCTTGTGCCTGTGGTCCCAGCTACTCTGGGGGCTGAGGTGGGAGGATCGCCTGAGCTGGGGAGGTCAAGGCCCACTCCAGCCTGAGACCTGTCTCAAGAAAAAAAACACACACACACCCATTCCAGCTTGAGACTATGTCTCAAAAAATACACACACACACACACGCGCGCGCGCGCGCGCGCGCACATGGGGGAGAGAGAGAAGGCAGCTCCAAGAGTGCTAGCAAAATGTAGGCGGATGGATTGGTGACCCTCTGCCTTCCCGAAGGGTCTTGGCACACATGCTGCGTGCAGCTCTGGTCTGCCGAGGCCCGTGCAGCCTGCTAGGAAGTGCCTGGCGGGGGGGTCCAGGCTCTAAGAGGCCCTTTCCCCTTGGTGGACTTGAGCCAGAACTTTGCTTCTTTTGACTGCGCTCTGCATTCCCACGAACCTCTTTCTTCTTGAGCCCAGCGAGTCCCTCTGTTGACCCCTCTCCTGAGCCATCATACCCCTAGATTGAAACGACACTCAGCACCTTTCAGAGGGGCCCGGCCAGCGCGTCGGTGGAAGGTGCTATGCGAATGTTACGATTCAGGTCAAGCTTCCAGAGGCGGGAGTGCCGGTGTGTTCTAGAACAGGGCTCACAGCCTCGGAACCCTGGTCTCGTCGCAGTCCCCGAAAAAAATAGCCGCCCTTCACCTGAGAGTGGGGCCTGGGCCATGTCTACTGGGAGCCATGCGTCAGGGCTGGTGGCTGGGTATCGGGCAGCCCTGAGGCCATGCTGGCCCCGTCCCAGGCTCCGCACCAGCACTGTTGCCCAAGCCCCAGGGACGCCAGACCTATTCGGGGACAGCGCCTGGCAGTATCGTGCAGGCCAGTCTGGGTATTGGGGCTCTGTGGGAGGCTCCTCTCTCTGCCTTGCAGCAGCCACCTGGGGCCCACTGTGAGCACAGGCTGTTCTCATCCAGGGCTGCTCCCCACCCCTGCACCCTAGGCTGACTGAGTTCCACTAACCCAGCCAAAGGACCTTGGCAGGACAGCGGCTGTTACATCCCAGGAAACTAACCAGGGCAAGGGCAGGAGACCCAGAGGGCAGCAGCCACGGTGCTGTCGCATTCTGACACGGGGCTGCAGCTCTGCTGCTGGTGTCGGGGGAGGTGGGGTCGTCTGTCCTGAGAGGGACACAGCGTATTTGGCACAGCCGGAGAGTCCTCCGGCCCTCGGTGTGCTCTCATCTGAGTGAATCTGCTGTTCTGGCCACGGGCGGCGGGAGTGGGGGTGCCGGATGGCCCAGCCCCTTGGGGGGGGCTCCAGATGGGTAGGAGCGGGTGGCGCGGGACCAAGCATCCGAGTGTGACCCTCCTCCCCTCCCTCTGCTCCCACCTGCAGGATGGCCCACCTCCATGGAGATGGCCCACGGCCTCGGCACCACCAGCCCCACCTGGCCTCCACTTGGTGGCCCCAGCCCCGATCCCAGCACCGCCGAGCTGACCCCACTCTGAGAGCCTGGCCGAGCTGGCAGCATGGAGCCCTCAGCTCCCCAGACTTTGCCGAGGGGCTGCCCCGGACCCCGGTGTTAGCCGGCCTCTCCTGTCTGCATGCCCCCGCGGCCACCAGGCTCCATGGGGCCATGGTGACCCTTGATCAAAGAGCACAGTGGACTGTTCCCTCCAAGTCTCCCTTTTCTACAGTTGATATATTTGTAACTGGTACAAGATGAAGGACAGCAGCTTTCCATCCCTCGTTCAGAGCCCTGGTTCCCCAGGGTCCCGCGGGCTGAGCGGCTGGGGCTGGGGCTGCCCACGTGCGGCCTGTGCTGGCTCTGCCTGCCCCCGCAACACTGCGGTCACTGCCCCAAGAACTCAGCAGACCTACAGAAGAGATTTACCAGTGGTTGAAGCACTGTCTTCACAGATGTTCAGGGGCAGTGGGGGGCTCCAGGCACGGTCAATGAAGGAAACAGTGCCTGTCCGCCTACCCTGCGTCTCATTGTGGCGACCTGGCTGTCGCTGCTTTTTGTCCTCTGCCGTGTTTGCGTGGCCTCAGTGCCCTCTCTGGTGCGTCTCCGCTGGGGCCCTCAGTGCTCGGGGCCTGGGGTGCATGGGTGCCGCCCTGGGCAGTTAGTATCTCAGCCCGGTGCTGGGCCTGATCGAGGGGCGGAGACATAGCAGCTGCCAGCATCCAGTGACCTTGTCACCCAGCTCCATACCTTCTCATGGTGCTGGCTTTGGTGACATCACCAGGTCTCTCCAGGTGCGGGGGCTTCTGTTCGACAGGCTACTGCCAGGGAGGACCTGGCGGCCTCCTTGTTCCCCTTTGCCATTGGAATGTCCCCTTGCAGGTTTTTTTTTTTTTTTTTTTTGGGGGGAGAGTTTCACTCTTGCTGTCCAGGCTGGAGTGCAGTGGCGCTATCTTAGGTCACCGCAACCTCTGCCTCCCGGGTTCTAGTTATTGTCCTGCGTCAGGCTCCTGAGTAGCTGGGATTACAGGTATGTATCACCATGCCCGGCTACTTTTTTTGTATTTTTTTTTTTTTTTTGTATTTTTTTTTAGTAGAGACGGGGTTTCACCGTGTTAGCCAGGATGGTCTCGATCTCCTGACCTCGTGATCCGCCCGTCTCGGCCTCCCAAAGTGCTGGGATTACAGGCTTGAGCCACTGCGTCCGGCCCTTTTTTTGTATTTTTTAGTAGAGAAGGGATTTCTCCATGTTGGTCAGGCTGGTCTCAAACTCCTGACCTCAGGTCATCCACCCGCCTTGGCCTCCCAAAGTGCTGGGATTACAGGCATGAGCCACTGTGCCCGGCGCCCTTGCAGATCTCTTTGATTTGGTTCTATAGCAGGCTTCTGTGGCAGGACTGGCTTGGGGAGGAGGGAGCCAGCAGCAACACTGGGGAGTGGGGTCCCAGCTGGGAGGCTTGGCCTCTGGGCGACTTCATCCTGTTTTTTTTTTTTTTTTTTTTTTTTTTTTTGTAAGGTAAAACTCCTGGGCAGCAGATGTGCAAAGGGAGAGTACCTGGGCCTGGTGACCCAGGGCTGGAGCTGTCCCAGTAGAGCCCTGGGCCGGGAAGGTGTGTGCTGCTCCCTGGCCCCAGAGGGCTGCCCTGCAGCCGGGCCTGCGGATAGTACAGCCGTGGGGCAGCTCAGTGCCCTCCCCTGAGGCTCACGGTGGCTCTGAGCACAAGCTCTGCCTAGTGGGCACTTGGGGGAGACCCAGCAGTGAATAGCACGGTCCCCACACCCAGGCCAGCCACCCCTCCTGCTCGTGCACACGCACGTACATGCTCTCACCTGTACACGCTCACACATGCACGCCCACTCGCACATGCTCACATGCACACGTTCACACATGCACACACGCTCACACATGCTCTCACCATACACGCACATACTCAATGCACATGTTCCCATGCATGTGTGTGTACTGGGACCGAACATCTCCCACACACCTCTACCGCCCCACGCACCTCTCCCCGCCCCACGCACACACACACACTGCACCACCCCCCCGACCAAAGCCCCAGCCTCTGGCCATCGGTCCTGGTGCCAGAGCTCTGCGTGAAGTTTGGGCCGCAGAGTGGCCTGAGACTTCCATGTGCTGCCGTCTGATGTGTTCAGATGGGCTCACCGTTGGTTCGTTTTTACTGTATATTTATAGTAATAAAATCATGCAGCAATATCCTGTCTGCTCCTTCCTCTGGGTGCAGCCCTCGGGATTGTGGCTATTTCCTGACCCGGAGTTTTGCCGCTGGGTGGTTGGTGGTGGCTCCCACACCCTGGCAGCTCCATGGCCTCTGCCCGGCTTCCCTCCGGGGCAGTGAGCAAGGTGAGGGCTAATGAGAACGGGCAGCTCCCAGCCATCCCTGTCAGGGCTGGTTGTCTGGTTGGAGGGAAGCCACAGCCTTGAGGTTGGGCTGTCTCCTGAACAGGTGGTGCGGGAGCCCAGGGCCTCCAGCTGTGAGTTGTCGTTCTGTCCCCATCTCTAGCCCCAGCTATTTCAAGGCGTTTGCTAAGTACCTGCTGTGTGTCAGTGGAGGCGGAACAGTCGAACAGCCGAGGGCGAGGGCCTGGCCGCAGGCCCCTGCCTTGCAGGCAGTGAGATGCCCAGCAGCTCATCAGAATCCTGCCAGGTGTGGTTACTATTAGGAAGAAAGCGAGCGTGGTGGTGAGACGAAACCGTACAAGGACTCACTTAACCGGGCGGCAGGGAGGGCCTCTCCGAGGAGACTTAAACAGCCCTGAGGGCTGAGGAGGAGCTGGCCCTGGAAGAATGTTCCAGGTGGCAGGAGTGAGCCTGGTGTGTCCCCTGGGGACAGCTCCTGGCTGGAGTGAAGGCTGTTGGATAGATACTGAAGAGCTGCTGGAGTGTTTTTATAAGGGGGAGTCGGAGTTTTAAGAATAGGTTTCCAAGCAGAGGGGCAGTGCTAGAGCCCTGTGGCTGGTGGGTGGAGCCTGGACGGCGGGAGCAGGTCTAGCCACCCATGGTTGTGGGCTTGCAGGCTGGAGCCCAGCCCCAGGCCTCTGCACGGCCCCTGCTCCCCGGCCCAGGGAGTGGCCAGTGCCCCAGGGCACCCACCACACCACCGCCTACCACTCAGGGCCCCAACTCCTTTGGCGCAGGTCAAGCTGCCACCATAGCCCTTCTTCGACTGAAGACTGTGAGGCTGGAGGGGAAGCCCATGTTCTGGCCCATCAGTGCCTGCCCTGAGAAGGCTGCCACCCATGGACCCTGCAGCTGCTCTGACACGCCTGGGTCTGGCCCCATCCCAGTGTGGGTAGAGGGGTGCCCAGGGTGTCAGACGGGTGCTTGCATGGGCCAGATTGGCTCCCCATCTACCTCCCAACAGACACAGCACTTTTTTTCATGTCTGGTCTTCGGAAGGGGCTGGAGCAAGGGGAGCCTCCCCTGCCGTGCGCCAGCGTCCCACAGGCCCTGGGCACTGGCAGGGCTTGGCTGCCTAGGGGTGGGGGCCCTCTTTGGGTGGAAGGACCCTTCCCCTTGCTGCCCTCTCGCCTTCTGACATGGTCGCTCACCCTGGAATCTGGACTTCCCCTGCTGCCTGCAGCTGTCCCATGTGGCCGCTGTCCCATGTGGCCCCTGACCCACTGGTGGCCATAGGAGGAGACAGAGGTGCCCTCTCTGGGTTCTTATTCTCCACATCTGACACCACCATGGACCTAACAGGTGAGTTTCCAGTGCCCACCCTCTGCCTACCTCTCCTCCTGCTTGGCTCCACTCAAGGCAGCCTTCTCTGTGCCAGTGAGCTTGGCCTCACTGCACAGCTCTCCTGAGACTCTGCCCCAGCCCTGGGCACCCATGCTGTGAGTGCAGGCGGGTGGTTCATGTACTTAGCAAATCCATTCCCCCCGTGGGGAGGAAAGTGGCCTTGGGCCCTGTTGCTGGTGAGGTGAGCCTTGCCATCATGGAGTTCAGCGGACCTCGCGCTCTCGGCCTGTTTCTGATGTTTCTGAGCCTGAGACATCTCCAGGACAAACACAAGGTAAGTAACTCAGGCTCTTGTGGAATCGGGATCCTGTCTCTGTCACTAGCTGCTGGGTGTACTTAGGCAAGTTCTGTCCCTCTCTGAGCTCCAAGTTCCTCATCGTAAATTGGGGAAGCCCCTCTTCCCCCAACAGCACGGGGTGCCTGGCATGGAGGATGCTGGAAAGCTCCAGCCCCGGAATTTAAGTCACTTTCTGCTCAGCAAGCTGGGTCCACAGAGCCCCAGAGCTCCCAGTCGTCTGCCCTGACCCAGCGTGGACTCGGGGACTGGGGCGCTCAAGCCCTGCCTGGCCCTGCTTCCTGTGCTGTCCTGGATCGAGCCGGCCAGCAGGGTGGCTAGGTCGGGACTGCTGTCGTGCGTGGCAGGAAAAGGCCGTCGCCCTCCGGGCTCGGGTCCGGTGGCGCTGGCAGAGCAAGGCTCCGGGGCATTTCTGGCTTGTGTGGTCGTGCCAAGGGCGCCATTGCGGATGCACAGGGCCATGCGGGCCGGGTCCGCCTCCTGGGGAGAAACGGGTGAGCGCAAGGGGGATCGGCGCCATTGAGGGTGGAGAAACCGCAGGGATTTTCGGCTGTCTGCTTTGGGGCGCCAAGGAAGATGTTCGTCGACCACAGTGTGAACCTTGAGCCACCACGGCACCGACCAGTCGACTGGGCGATCCCGTCGGAGGCGGGGCCGCCGCCCGGGGTGTGCGACTATTGGGTGACGGCTGACGCTCACCGCCTTCCTTTGCACACCGCTCGCTGCACCTCTCGACGACGCGCCGCGGCGCTGCGAGGGGCTCGGTCCGGGGTGCGCCGGCGATTGGCGGGGGAACGGGACCCGGGGGTGCGGCCGCCCGCGGATTGGTGAGGCGCGGCGGGGGCGGGCTCGCGCATGCTCTTAAGTGGCAGCGACGGGGACGGGGTCAGTGCCAAGATGTCGACGGCGGCGGTTCCAGAGCTGAAGCAGATCAGCCGGGTGGAGGCGATGCGCCTGGGGCCGGGCTGGAGCCACTCGTGCCACGCCATGCTGTACGCCGCCAACCCTGGGCAGCTCTTCGGCCGCATCCCCATGCGCTTCTCGGTGCTGGTGAGGACGGGAGCGGGAGCGGGCGCGGGCGGGCCGGGGCGGGGGCGTCCGACGATCCCCCGGCTTTGACCCGCGCTCCCTTGCAGATGCAGATGCGTTTCGATGGGCTGCTGGGCTTCCCCGGGGGCTTCGTGGACCGGCGCTTCTGGTCGCTGGAGGACGGCCTGAACCGGGTGCTGGGCCTGGGCCTGGGCTGCCTGCGCCTCACCGAGGCCGACTACCTGAGCTCGCACCTGACCGAGGGGCCCCACCGCGTCGTGGCGCACCTGTACGCACGGCAGCTGACGCTGGAGCAGCTGCACGCCGTGGAGATCAGCGCGGTGCACTCGCGCGACCACGGCCTGGAGGTGGGGCCGCCGCCCGGGCCCCGCCCCCCGCCCCGGGGTTTGGCTCTGGCCCCGTGGAAGGCACCGATGGGTAACACGTCTCCTGAGGGTCCCCTGGCCGGGCTGGGTCGGGTGTCGCTGTCTCCAGCAATGGGGTGGGGAGAGGGGTCTGGGGCTGGGGGGCCGGGAGAGGAGGGGCGGTGGTGGGGGCCGGGGCTGGGGCTCCCTCAGGGCTGTGTTACATCTGCCTTGCTGCTGCCATTGCCAATCCTGGGAGTGGGGAGTGGGATCGGTGGGGAGGAAGGGATGGGGGAGGAGCGGGGCTTGCTTGGGGAGTTGGGAAACTTGAGCACAGCGGGGGTCGTAAAACTTGGAAACCTCATGGGGGGCGTGAAGGCTCTTGGTATTTGTGTTTTGTGGTCTGGAAGGGTTGGACTCCAGGTGTTCAGGCTTCGTTGGGTGGACGGGAAGCATGGGGTGTGGACCCCGGGTGGTGGTCTAGGTACGAGGGGGAAGTGCATGGGGTCAGCCTCCACACTTGCTTGGGGAGGAGGGGGCTGCACTGCTCCAAGGGAGCTGGTTGGCTTCTGCCAGGTCCTGCCTGGGTCTCCCATTAAGTCCTTGGCAAAGCTGGCTGCTCATACCCTGGCCTCCTAGCTTCCAGGCCCCTCCTGCCGGGGGTGCCATTGCGTGGCAGGCCTGGCCCCAACCCCTACCTCCTGTCTGCACAGGTGCTGGGCCTCGTGCGGGTCCCGCTGTACACCCAGAAGGACCGAGTCGGAGGCTTCCCCAACTTCCTGAGCAACGCCTTTGTGAGCACGGCTAAGTGCCAGCTCCTCTTTGCCCTCAAGGTGCTCAACATGATGCCTGAGGAGAAGCTGGCTGAGGCCCTGGCTGCGGCCACCGAGAAGCAGAAGAAGGCCCTGGAGAAGTTGCTCCCAGCCTCGTCCTGAGGGCTGCCTGGGCTGCTGGCACCCTCCCCTGGGCCGGAAGACTGGGAATTCCTGCCAAGTGTGGCTTCTAGAGTGTGTGTGTGTACCCCACTTCTGACTGCCTAGGGCAAAGGGGCATCCTGTCATCTCCACTGTCCCAAGCAGTCACTAGGTGGTGGCCAGGCCAGCTGGGACCCAGCCCATCCTCTCAGGCAGAGCAGGGTGGTCTGGGCACGCTGGGCCTGCCTCTCCAGCCTCAGACCCTCCTGTGTGTGTGTGTCTCATCCCGGCTGGTGGAGGCCCACAGGGACTGCGCACAGCTCCAGGGCCACTCGGAAGACGGGATGTGTGGGTGGAGGATGCCTCGTCTAGGTCAGCATTCCTGCCTCCTTCCTGAGCCAGCTCAGAGCCTGGGGGAGAGCCAACTTGGGGTAGGAAGTTAATACTGTTAATTTGGGTGGTTGTTGGATTTACTTTGCTAGATTTTCTCTTTCACCACGTGTGAACTGTGGGTGAGGTTTCAAAGTAGCTTCACCCCACGTGGCTTGGTTCCCAGGGACAGTCAGGGCCTCGGGGGCTCAGCTATGTACGACGAAGCTGTCGAAGGAGAAGACAATAAAGTCACTCCTCAGCTGCTCTGTGTTTCTCAGCTACTCTGTGTGTTTCGGTTCTGGATGGAGCCAGCTCAGGCCTCCTGCCCTAGGGGGAGGGAGGAGCCGCCCCAGCCAGAGGCATGTTTGTCCCCAGTGCTGACTGGGGGCACTCCCAGCATAAGCGCTGTGCCCATCAGCCAGGTTGGGGTATCTGGGCTGAGACCTTCAGGGAAGGCTCCCCTTCCTGATCCTGATGGCCCTGGCTGCACCTGAGCTGACCTGCTTTGCAAACCCGCCCTACACCACCATCATCTGCAAGCAGCTCCAGGGGCTGGTGTAGCAGTGCAGGCTTACTATGCAGAAGGACAGCAGCAGAGCCATCCCTCGTGGTCTCCTACAGCCTCACATCTGGAAAGACTCCAGTGGCATCGTCAGAAAATGTTCACAGCCCATGCCTGGCCTGGTGAGGGAGGTGGTGGTCCCAGCGCCATCATCTCAGCGCTCGGTGTGAGGGCAGCATGTCGGGGGAGGCCCTGTCCTATGGCGGGCTGGGGATATTCTTGGCTCTCGAAGCCTTGTCTTGAGTCACGTGGGCTCCAGGAGCAAAGGCGCTCCCGAGCAGCAGGGGACACCCGCCGAGCAAAGGCGCTCCCGAGCAGCAGGGGACAGGGCAGTCACGGTTGCTGCACTGGCCAGGGGCTCATGAATTCATCAATTCATGAAATTGAACTGAGCCCTTCACTAGCTGTTCAATTTTATTTTCCAACAAATGGCATTTTCCAGGCGCCCCAGTCCTCACCCCTAAGGTCACACCTCAGTTGGCACCTGTGTGTGTGTATGGATATACTTTTCCCCCAGGGCCCTGCCTGGTCTGGGCCAGGGCAGCCCATGAACTCTGGGCCTCACCACCAGGTTCTGGGTGAGACCCTTGTCCCGCCTCAGTGCTGGCCCGAGGTGCTCGGCCAGGGCCGCAGCCCCTGTCTTGCCTCTGTCTGCCGGCTGCTCGCGGGGCCTGATCCTCTGGCCCCCACTGGGCCTGGGCTGCACGTGGCAGCTGCCTGCTTACTGTCCTCTTCACTCCCTGGCACACAGCTTCAGGGTGGACCAATCACCCAACGTCAGATTCTGAAAGAAAAAGCCCTGGTAAGAAGAGAGGGGGACAGGTGGGTGCGCACGCACACCTGCAGCTGCCCAGACAGGCCCTGCTGCTCCCGCCACGTGGGATGCAGGCTGGCAGACACTCACCGGCCCGCGGGCTAGGGCTCCCGCCACTTCTTCCCGTTCAGCACCTGCAGCTTCTCCAGGCTCTGGGTCACTGAGCACAGTGCTTGCCCTGCGGAACGATGACCTTGAGCCTCTCCCTCCCAGGCTTGGTAGAACTGGGTAGTGCTGCCCAGGGCTCTGAGCTGCAGGATGGCCCCAGCCCCGAGGTCAGCCTTGGGGTAGAGGGACTCAAACTTGCTTTCCCTGGAAAGGGGTCCCCTGCCTCCCTTGGAAACAAGGAGCTCTTAGTCTTCAGCAAAGTCTGGTCCCCGGAGACTCACCCATCTCGTGGACACGGTCCTCCAGGGCTCCCGAGAGCTCGGGGAGGCTCATGGCCTGCAGGGACACTTGCCAGCCCTTGGCGTCTGTGGTGCAGGATGGAGTTAGCTGTGGGTCTGTGTCCCCACAGGCCCTGCTTTATTCTGAGCCCATGCAACCAGGAGAAGCTGCTTGGATCAGAGCCTCCCCACCCGCCTGGCAGTGTCGAAGCGACCTCCTAGGGCCAAGGCTGGGGAGCCCTGTTGTGCCCTTCCTCCCACGGGCTAAGCAAACACTATGAGGCCTGGGTCAGCCCAAGAGAAGACAAAGCTGTGCCGGTGGGGACCCGGGTCTGGGCCCTGGCTGGAGGCTGCAGAAGTCACTGGCGGTCTGAGCACAGCACAGGCAGCCATGGCACAATGCCTCCCACCCCTGGGGTAGGCGGTTTTCCCGTCACAGGTGAGGAAGTGGGCTTGGGTGCCCAGGGCCCCCTCTCCTTGGACTCTGGGATCATGTGCACACAGGGACCTGGAGAGTGGCTGCCGGCCAGAGAACCAGGCCAAACCCGCTGGGTCAAACCCCGCTTCAGGGCTCCCCGCTTTCTCCTCTGCCCAGTGCGGAGTCAGGCCGCTGCTCTTACCAGCTGCGGGGAGGCCTGGGCCCAGGGTGGCTGCACCAGGGGGATGGTCCCGCCTCACTCGGGATGACAGCTCAGCTTGACAGGCTCTACCAGACACAGGAACAAGTGCTGGTGAGGGCAGAGGCCTGGCCGTCGCAGAGCCCCCACCTCAGACCTTCAAGGGGAGGGAGGGACTCTGCCCTGTCCCTGCAGCTGGCCTTGGTGAGCTGGCCCAGTGCCCCATGAAGCTGTGCTAAAGAGCAGGAGGGAGAGCGGTGCAGATTCCCGACCCCGACTGCTGCCTGGCTCTGCCCGCAGGAAGGAAGGGCCTGGATGAAATGGGGGGGTGGCTCCAGGCGCTGAAATCCACCTCTCAGTTACAAAATCAGGAGGAAAAGATGTCTGGGGGCCCAGGGGCCAGGCGGCTGACCACTGGAGACCCAGCCCAGGCCAGCTCAGAGCCACTCACCGCAACTGGTCCAGGACAAGGGCAGCGTCCCGGGCCAGGGCCCACGTCTCCTGCAGGTGGGCCTGGAGGTCCTCGCGGGCACGGTCCTGCTCCAGCAGGCAGCTCTCCACCACGGCACGCAGCTCCTGCTCCTGGCACACCTGGCCCCGCATGGCCTCTACCTCCTCACAGCGCTGCAGGGGGGCGGGAGGCTGGGAGGTAGCCGGGCAAGCCAAACCCCTGGCCATAGCCCTGTCCTCTGTGGCCTCTCCCCTTGCATCCAGCTGACCCCTCCACACAGCGCCCACCTTTATCTGTCAGAGATGGGGCCAACTCAGGGGTGTTGCCCTGCCCCCCATCCCCCACCCACAGCCACTCACCTTGTGCAGCTGGATGGCGAGCTCCTGCATCTCAGCCTCCAGCCGGTCGGCGTAGGCCAGCTCCAGGGCGTCCCCGGGCAGACGGGCACTGCTGTGCCAGCGGGCAATGGCGGATGTCATTTTCCTCTTGGGCCCAAACAGCCTGCAGGGGGAACATGACCAGGACGTGCCTCAGCCTCCCAGGAGCGCTTTACATGAGCAGGAGTTTGCCCCAACCCCAGGCTGAGGGCCAGAGCAGCCCTTCTGGACGCACGTGATGCCGATTTCCTTCAGGTCACTCTCAGTGAGGGTCAGAAAGATGCGGAGGTCCACGTCCTGCTCCTCAAACACCTGCAGGTACTTCAGACACCCGATCTGCTCCAGCAGTGTGGCCAGGTCCTGGCAGGCACAGGGGACGGGTTGGGGGAGGTAGTGGCCGACGACAAAGCAGAGCCATTTTCCTCCGCTTGGAGCCCCACCGCTTCCCCAGGCTTAGCACCAAGACCGGGCCTGTGTGTAGCCCCCAGGCTGTCCCTTCCTACTCTGGTGCCTCAGGCAGGGCAGGACGTAGCAGGCAGGTAAGTCCTCACACTATGGTTGGCCACCTGGGGACACTGTATGTTCATCACGAGAAACTGGCCGCCTCCTGCCTCACGTGCTGAGTTCTGTGAAGGGGCGATGGAGCTGCTGATCCGGACAATGCTTTGTACACAGAGAGCGCTGTTCTCTAATTCTAGTCTCCGTGTCCGACGTTCTGATTTCCACTTGTCTAAGCGCAGCTCTTCTCCGAGTTTACCTGCCTGGAGTTCACCGAGCGCCCTGGATGTAAGATCCGTGTTTCTGATCCACCTGAAATGGTCAGGCTGTGTCCTACCCGTTGTTTCTGCTTTTCTCTTCTTCTGCAATGCCACTGTGTGGACGCTGTCAGCGTGCTTCAGGGGGTCACGGGTTTCGTTCATTTTTTTCACTCTTTCTTTCTGTTCCTCAAGCGAGATGATCTCAGGTGACCTGTGTTCACAAGTTTTCTGTTTCTTCTGCCTGCTCAATTCTGTTTTCATTTTAGTTTACTTTTCAACTCCAGAAATCCTACTTTTGAGAGTTTATTGCTTTTAATGGAGAAACGAATGTTACTCTGCCATTTGCCTCAAGCTGTTTTCTGAAAGAAACATACTTAGGACACTACCCTGACCAGACTCCACTCAGTGTGTGTTGAGGGGACCGAGGTGTGCGCCTGTTCACTGAGCCGGGGGCTGCAGGGAGAAGCCGGCATAGCAAGGCTCTACTGAACAGCACAGCCGGTGCTTTAACAAATAACCAGCCAGGCCGGGCGTGGCGGCTCATGCATGTAATCCCAGCACTTTGAGAGGCCAAGGCAGGCAGATCACAAGGTCAGGAGCCTGAAACCAGCCTGGCCAACACAGTGAAACCCCATCTCTACTAAAAATACAAAAAATTAGTCGGACATGGTGACACGTGCCTGTAATCCCAGCTACTTGGGAGGCTGAGGCAGGAGAATCACTTGAACCCGGGAGGCGGAGGTTGTAGTGAGCCGAGATCGCGCCACTGCACTCCAGCCCAATGACAGTGCGAGACTCCATCTCAAAGAAAAAAAAACAACCCACCAGAGCTTCCCTCTGCCTCTCTTCTCCGTGTCTCTTCTGACTGCACAGGGTAGCAGAACTCAGCAGACACAGGTGACACAGCTGAGCTGTGAGTCACACCTGTCATCCCTAAGGTAATGCATGGTCAGAGGGACCACAGCAAGGATGAGGATGGTGGCAGCTGTAACCATCACCAAGCACACACCGTGTGTGGTCCCTGTCTCTGCTTCAGCGGCATCCCGTCAGACTCCCGCAGGCAGCTCTGAGGTCAGGTGTGTTTCTTCTCCCCAGGCTCAGGGGAGCCAGCTCCAGTATGGGAAGCAGGGAGACAGGTCCTTGGAACACAGCAGAAGCCGTGCAGCTGGGCCGTCAGCCACGGAGCCGGCCGTGAGCCTGCAGAGCCTACCAGGCCATGGGGACGCCACGGCCATTCCGTTCTCCAAGCAGCCTGGCACGTTACATACACAACACATGCCTCATAAGTCACAAAAAGTGCCGTCTCTGAGTGTAACCTCCAGTTTCACAAGCGGTCTTACCTGCGGTCCTGAGTAGGGGGCCCTCTGAGTCTGGGGGCTGGACTCAAGGGGAAAGTCTTCCCCGTCAGTCCCAGTGCAGGGAGGCCACTGGCTGTCAGGATTCTTGGTCTTCACGTAACTTTTAGCTTGTTTGCGAGCTGAGCTTTTACAGGCGTGGTCCGAGTCCTGCGGTGAGAGCCATGTATCTGAAGGAGCGCACGGACTGACTGGAGAGCCTTGGTGAACCCCCACCCGCCACACAGGCTTCCAGTGCATTCGCTGTCGTCTGAGAAGCCAGGCCCTGGACACAGCACGTCCCAGCGCGGCACACACGTGTAGCACGTGCTTGTTACGGACGTTCTCATCTTAAAGTAACTGGGGGATGTTAGGCATCCCAGCCAGGGACCGGCTATGGGAGAACGAGAAAGAATCCGCACCTCATTGCTCTCCACAGAAGCTTCGCTGCTGAGCCCCTGGGCTCTGGCCAGGCCCTCGCTGCTGCTGCTGCTCTGGACAGGCTCCAGGTTGGCACAGAAAGCATGTTCCTCTGAGGGCGGAAAGACGGCGTCCGCCTGCAGGCCTCACCGCGGTGCTGTGCATGGGCGTGCCCCGGGCTGAGCCACCTCCACCAGGGCGCTCCTTGGGGCCTGCCGCGGTTGCTTCCTTATGTTTTAAGCTTCCTGCCTGTTCTAAACCCTCCCCTCTATACAGACGGGCAGGGCTTGTTTTTTGTTCACTGATAAATCCCAAGCACCCAGGGCAGGGCTTGGCGTACGGTGGGCACTATGTGAGCAGCTGCTGCACGGTGGTGCAGTTATAACAGGACATTCCTATTGGAGCCTGTCCGGAAAGCCTCAGGGGGCTCCCAAGCAAGGAGCTAAACCTGTTGGTGTGGAGTGGCTCCCCCAGGCTGCACGGGGACGCTGGAACAGAAGCTTCTCCCATTCCTCACAAGAACCAGGGCTGCCCACGCCTCCCCTGTGCCTGTCCTCTGCTGGATGGCTGGGCTGTGTCCCAGCACCAAGCCCAGTGGATAAGTGGGGACGGGCACACAGGAGCTCCAGGACCTGCCTGAGCCGCGGGCTGGACAGGGGTGGGGGTGCACATACCCCGGCTGCTGCTGCTGCTGCTGCTCTCCACGTCCCGTTCGTTGATGGGGGAGGTGACGTCCCGGCAGCAGAGGCCCTCTTCTTCCAGGGCGTTCTCACCACTGCTGCTGAAGGTGACATAGCCCCGGGGAGGAGCCTGCTCTGTGTACAGAATAGAGCCCATAAGCCCAGGGAACTCCAAAGTGAAGCCGATCCTGGTTCCAGATGCCCCCACCGCCTCAGAGGCCAAGGCCCCGGATGGAGGCAGGCGACTTCCCGCTCATGACCTCACCTACTTGCCCCTGCGACCTGGCATGGCTCTATCTGTGGTGTGTGGGTGGAGAAGTCACTCTGAGGGTCAGTGAGTGGCCCAGACAAGTGCATGGTGGGGCCAGGGCTGACAGCCAGGTCAAGCCTGGGCCCTCTCCTTTGTACCGAGCAACCTCTTTTTCAAAGGGAAAACGTCGGAGATGGTAAGCTGTATTTACAGATGCCTGACCAGAGGAAACGACACCACTAGTGTTCCTTTTAGCAGGAGGCATCTAATGACCTCACACAGACACCCGCCAACCAGGTGTCTTTATGTCCCTATGACCTTTAACCATAGGCTCTTAGCGGGCTCCTCGGGCCAGTCAACCCCAGCGAAAAAGAGATCTGGCTGAGCAGGAAGGAAAAAGGCCTTGGGCTAAAAATTAACGGCAATAATATGATATTACCTAACTCTACCTTCCTCTAAAACCAAGCAGAAAAAGGGGCATGCGGCCGGGGGCGGTGGCTCAAGCCTGTAATCCCAGCACTTTGGGAGGCCGAGACGGGCGGATCATGAGGTCAGGAGATCGAGACCATCCTGGCTAACCCGGTGAAACCCCGTCTCTACTAAAAACTACAAAAAACTAGCTGGGTGAGGTGGCGGGCGCCTGTAGTCCCAGCTACTCAGGAGGCTGAGGGAGGAGAATGGCGTAAACCCGGGAGACAGAGCTTGCAGTGAGCTGAGATCCGGCCACTGCGCTCCAGCCTGGGCGACAGAGCGAGACTCCGTCTCAAAAATAAAAAAAAAAAGGGGGGGGCATGCATACCAGGCAATTTCACTCCAGTTTTGCCCCTTTATTTATATAAAAAGACTGACTTGACCAGGCACGGTGGCACACGTCTGTAATCTCAGCTACTCAGGAGGCTGAGACAGGAGGATCACTTGAGCTCAGGAATTGGAGCCTGCAGTGAGCTATGATCGTGCCACTGCACCACAACCTGGGCTACAGTGAAACCCTGTCTCAAAAAAGAACCCAAAGGACTGGTTGGTGGGACCATGGGGAACTAACTTACTTCTTTACATATTTTCCTAGTTATGGAGAAGTTTTTACAATCAGCACGTGCTATTTATCATTGCCCCCTAAACTTTTTTTGAGTCAGGGTCTTGCTCTGTTATATAGACTGGAATGCAATGGCACCATCATGGCTCACTACAGCTTTGACCTCCTGGGTTCAAACAATCCTTCCACCTCAGCTTCTCATGTAGCTGGGGCTAGGGCTACAGGCATGGGGATGATATCTAGCTAATTTTCAAAAATTTTTGTAGACATAGGGTCTTGCTACATTGCCCAGGCTGGTCTCACAACTCCTGGGCCCAAGCAATCTTCCTGCCTCGGCCTCCCAGAGTGCTGGGATTACAGGTATGAGCCACTGCACCTGGCCCCCCAGTACTTTTTTTTTGTTTTTTTTTGTTTTTTTTTTTGAGACGGAGTCTCGCTCTGTCGCCCAGGCTGGAGTGCAGTGGCGCGATCTCAGCTCACTGCAAGCTCCGCCTCCCGGGTTCCCGCCATTCTCCTGCCTCAGCATCCCGAGTAGCTGGGACCACAGGCGCCGCCACCTCGCCCGGCTAATTTTTTGTGTTTTTTTTTTAGTAGAGACGGGGTTTCGCCGTGTTACCCAGGATGGTCTCGATCTCCTGACCTTGTGATCCGCCCGTCTCGGCCTCCCAAAGTGCTGGGATTACAGGCGTGAGCCACCGCGCCCGGCCGGTTTTTTTTTTTTTTAGACAGTCTTGCACTGTTGCCAGGTTGGAGTGCAGTGGTGTGATCTTGACTCACTGCAACCTCCACCTCCTGGGTTCAAGCGATTCCCTTGCCTCAGCCTCCTGAGTAGCTGGGATTATAGACGCCTGCCACCATGCCCAGCTACATGTTTGTAGAGACAGGGTTTCACCTATGTGATGAATGAAATCTGAGCGGGCTACATTTCTGCTGCAGGAGAGAAAGTTCTATTCCTAAATTTAGCCAATGAAAAGGAAACTCAAGGAGATTAAGCAAAAAAGAAGAGCTAGTCCGTGACCAGTGCATTTCCATCAGTGGACTCAATCCTGAGTCTCCCTGAGCATGAAAGCTGGGCCACCTGTCCCGCTGCCACCTAAGGTCCAGCGACCCATGTTTCAGGAGCCTAAGAGCTATTCCATCCTGGCCAACACAGAATCTTGGTATGCAGAGAGAAAGAGCCCTCGGGAAACGCGGGCCACTCACCATAGCGAGGCCGTGGGGCTCTACCGCCCAGGCCAATGCCTGTGATCCTGGCCAGGGCTCGCGGTCCCTCGTGGATGCTGACACCCTTCTTCCGGCACGGCCTCTGTCTCTGAGGAGCAGGGCAGGACTCGTCAGAGGAGCTCAGATCTTCGTACTTTTCTGTGGTCAAACACCAGGATTAAGATAGTCTGTTCAGTGATGGACTCATTTACTAATCCTTATGGCAAACTGAAAGAAAGTAACTGTCGCCGGTTTTGTTAAATTAAGGAGAAGGGTATCTGCCGGGGCATCACTTTTGAGAAATGCCCTAACAGGCCTGGGCGCTGCTCCAATGGGCCACAGGGAGCTGCAAAGTTAGTGAGGATCGGAAGTTTCATTTTTCTTGAGACACAGTCTCTGTCCCCCGAGCTGAAGTGTAATGGCATGATCCTGGCTCACTCACTGCAACCTCCGCCTCCTGGGTTCAAGCGATTCTCATGTCTCACCCTCCCAAGTAGCTGGGATTACAGGTGCGTGACACCATGCCCAGCTTTTTCTTTTTCTTTAAGCAGAGACAGGCTTTTGCCATGTTGGCCAGGCTGGTCTCCAACTCCTGACCTCAGGTGATCTGCCTGCCTCGGCCTCCCAAAGTGCTGGGATTACAGGCGTGAGCCACCGCGCCTGGCCAGGAGTTTCATTCTTATCTCTGTCGAGGTTTGTAAAATTGTTCATAAGCCTGTATTGTTCATAATCAGAAATTTTGTTCTAATTTGAATAAATAAAATTCATCTCTTCATTAAAATATATGGTAATATCAGTCACAACTTCTTTTTCCTGATCCCTTCCTTTGGAAGCAACTTTTTTTTTTTTTTGAGATGGAGTTTTGCTCTTGTTGCCCAGGCTAGAACTTCTGCCTTCTGGGTTCAAGTGATTCTCCTGTCTCAGCCTCCCGAGTAGCTGGGATTACAGCCATGCACCACCATACCCAGCTAATTTTTGTACTTTAGTAGAGATGGGGTTTTATCATATTAGTCAGGCTGGTCTCGAACTCCTGACCTCAGGTGATCCACCCACCTCAGCCTCCCAAAGTTATTACAGGCGTAAACCACTGTGCCTGGCTGCAAACAACTTATTAAGGAATTCTGTTTTTTCTTTTTTTCTTTATTTTTTTGAGATGAAGTCTCCCTCCATCGCCCAGGCTGGAGTGCAATGGCACGATCAAGGCTCACTACAAGCTCCACCTCCCGGGTTCACACCATTCTCCTGCCTCAGGCTCCTGAGTAGCTGCGACTACAGGCGCCCGACACCATGCCCGGCTAGTTTTGTTTTTGTATTTTTAGTAAAGATGGAGTTTCACCATGTTAGCCAGGCTGGTCTTGATCTCCTGACCTTGTGATCCACCCGCGTTGGCTTCCCCAAGTGCTGGGATCACAGGCATGAGCTACTGTGCCCGGCCGCAATTCTGTATTTTCTAAAGCATGGCATGTGTTTGCTATGATTATAAAGTGTTTCAAATCACTGCCCAGTCTGAGCTTTCTGAGCTTTCAGAGCTCAACCCAGAGCTTTTACTATTTTGTAGCTTTTCAGTTTTTCATATTTGACTTGTATAAGGCTCTGATCCGATTCTACTTTTACGAGATACGTGAGTTGGATGCAGGAGGAAATCATGAGATCTCCTTGTGGAGCTGGTAAGCTGGGACGGAAATGAAGGCAGAGGTCCCCTGCGTTACCATTTTACCACCTGAGCTGTGTTTACTATGAAACAATCCCAACACCAGGGAAGGAGCTGGGCTGAGCCTGACCCTGAGAAAGGAGCTGCTCACTCAGGTGCAAACTGACAGGATAATTCAGGGCAGGCCAGCAAAGAGGGAGAGCTCAGGCCCTGAACATGGGCCACTCTGTCCTTCCCCATGAAGAGGCTCACGCCCTGGCGACTGAGCTAGCTATGTGGACACACACCCCCTCACACTCAAAGATCTACAGCACCCCAGGGAGACTGTGCTTCCATCCAAGCTAAAGGGGAGGGAGCTGTAAGACAAATGCACAAAGGTGGCAATAAGCAAGGGAACGGCAGCTGCGTGAATCTCAGCACCCAACACACCCTCAGAGCGGCTTAAGAATTACAGGCAGATGGAAACCACAAAAAAGCCAGAGCTGCAATCCTCCTATCAAAGTGGAAATCAGGGCAAAATACATTAAATATGACACAGAAGGACTTTTTTTTTTTTTTTTTTTGAGACAGAGTTTCCCTCTATACCCAGGCTGGAGTGCAGTGGCACAATCTCGGCTCATTGTAACCGCCTCCCAGGTTCAAATGATTCTCCTGCCTCAGTCTCCCAAGTAGCTGGCATTACAAGTATGTGCCACCATGCCTGGCTAATTTTTGCATTTCGAGTAGAGACACGGTTTCACCATGTGGGCTGGGCTGGTCTCGAACTCCTGACCTCAGGTGATCTGCCCGTCTTGGCCTCCCAAAGTGCTGGGATTACAGGCATGAGCCATGCCCGGCTAGAAGGACATTTCTAATACTGAAAGCCGTAATTCACAGTGAATCTATAACAAGTTATGAAAATCTGTCACCAAAAATGCACCAACTTCCTTCATAAATCACTAATAGGTAATTTTGTAGAAAATGAACTAAAAGTACATAATCCTAAATAAGATACTCACAGATACGCTAAATTGTATACACAGAAAATAGAGAATACAACTTCTTCTCAAGCAAAACACAGAACATTAAAAAATATTGATTAGGGCTGGGCGCGGTGGCTCACGCCTGTAATCCCAGCACTTTGGGAGGCTGAGGTGGGCGGATCACTTGAGGTCAGGACTTCAAGACCAACCTGGCCAACATGGTGAAACGCTGTCCTACTAAAAATACAAAAAAAAAAAAAATCAGCCAGGCGTGGTGGCAGACGCCTGTAATCCCAACTACTCGGGAGACTGAGGCAGGAGAGTCGCTTGAACCTGGAGGTAGAGGTGGTGGTGAGCCGAAATTGCGCCTGGGCACTCAAGCCTGGGTGACAGAGTGAGACTACATCTGAAAAAATATATATCTATTGATCAGCAGGTGATAAATAAGATGACAAAGAAGTTCTGTCAAGGTAAGAATTATAAACACTACCTGATCAGACACACTAGAATAAAGGTGATCAGAATAACATGAGAAATTAATCACAAGATCAAAAAGGCCCTTCTACCAAGAAATTAACAAACAAAAACAACCACAAGACTTCTATTAGACAACTCATGGGTGAAGGAGAAAATATAAATAAAAATTATAGAATTTCTGAAAAATAATAAGGAAAGTATTAAATACAGAACCCCCAGAATACACTTAAAGCAGCAATCAGCAAAAATTCACAGCCTCTAACATTTAGCAACAAAAGGGAAACAATGAACATGAAAGAAATTTCCAACTCAAAAAACTAGAACAACAAAGTAAGCCAAAGAAAAATAAAAGCAGAAATTAAACCATCAGTAGGTCTCAATAATCAATCAAAATCCGATGGGGTTTTCTTGTTTTTCCACTAAACAAAGTACTAGTATTTAACTTTAAAAGGAAAAAAGGAGCAAACACAAATATTCAAAATAAGAAGTGAGGCCGGGCGCAGTGGCTCACGCCTATAATCTCAGCACTGTGGGAGGCTGAGGCGGGAGGATCACTTGGGCCCAGGAGTTTGAGACCAGCCTGGGCAACATAGTGAGACACTGTCTCTATTTTTTTTAATATAAGAAATTTTTTAAAATATAAGAAATGAGATCCAGCAATTCCACTACTGGTTATTTATCCTAAAGAAAGAAAATCACCGGCGCAGTGGCTCAAGCCTGTAATCCCAGCCTTGGAGCAGACGGGCGGATCATGGGTCGGGAGATCGAGACCATCCTGGCTAACATGTGAACCCGTCTCTACTAAAAAAAAAAATGCCGATGCGGCGTCTTATCACTATCGGAGCTGAGCAGGAGAAGCTAAACCGGAGGCGAGCTGCAGGACTGAATCCCACTGCACTCCAGCCTAGGGCACGCGAGACTCCTCTCAAAAAAAAAAAAAAAGAAAGAAAATCAGTATACCAAAGAGATGTCTACACCCTCTTGTTATTGCAGCACTATTCACAGTAGCCTAGATAGAGAATCAACCGAGTCCATGAGTGGATGAATGAAGAAAGAAGGCTTTATATACACAATGGAATATTATTCAGACATAAAGAATGAAATCTGATCATTTGTGGCAACATGAATAAGCATGGGAGAGACTATGTTCAGTAAAATAAACCAGACAGAAAAGAAAGACAAATGCCAGCCAGTGTGGTGACTCACACTTGTAATCCCAACACTCTGGGAGGCCAAGGTGAGAGGATCACTTGAGCCCAGGAGTTCCAAACCAGCCTGGTCAGTAATAGCAAGACCCCGTCTCTACAAAAAAAAAATTAGTCAGGTGTGGTGGTAGGTGCCTGCAGTCCCGGCTATTCAGGAGGCTGAGATGGGAGGATCACTTGAGCCTAGGAATTGGAGGCTACAGGAGCCAAGATTATGCCACCACACTCCAGCCTGGGTGACAGAACGAGACCCTGTCTCAAAAACCAACCAAACAAACAAGACTACATGACTACATGATCTCACCCATTTACAGGATTTTTAAAAGCTCACATCAAGCATGTTGAGTAAAAGAGTGGATATCAGAGGTTGGGGGTTGGGAGGCAGTGGGAGAGACTGGTCAATAGGTATAAAATGACAGATCGAAGAAAGAAGTTCTGGTGTTCACAGCAGAGTAACTATACAGAACAACAGTGTATACCTCAGAACAGCTACTAGAAGACAGAAATGTTCTCACCTCAAAGAAATGATAAATATTTGAGGTGATAAACTAATTACCCTAATTTGATCATTACACAGTGTATACATGTATCAAAACATCACACACTGTACCCCATAAATATGGAGTTATTTTGTGTCAATTAAAAATGAAATAAATATTTTCCAGGTCAGGTGCAGTAGCTCATGCCTGTAGTCCCAGCACTTTGGGAGGCTGAGGCGGGTGGATTGCCTGAGTTCAGGACTCTTGAGACCAGCCTGGTCAACATGGCAAAACTACCTCTCTACAAAAAATACAAACGTAAGCTGGGCATGGTAGAGTGCACCTACAGTCCTAGCTACTCGTGGAGCTGAGGTGGAAGGATCGCTTTGCACCTGGGAGGCAGAGGTTGCAGTGGGTCGAGACTGGGTCACTGAACTCCAGCCTGGGTGACAAAGGAGACCCTGTCACAAAAAATAAATCAGTATTTTCCATGCTAAAAAAATAATAACAGGAGAAAATAACTACTGAAACGGAATATTTTATCTTGTTTTATTTTATCTATTTACTTTTTTTGAGATGGAGTCTCGCTTTGTCGCCAAGCTGGAGTGCAGTGGCGTGATTTTGGCTCACTGCAATCTCCGTCTCCTGGGTTCAAGTGATTCTCCTACCTCAGCCTCCAGAGTAGCTGGCGCACACCACCACACCGGCTTATTTTTGTATTTTTAGTGGAGATGGGGTTTCACCATGTTGGCCAGGCTGGTCTTGAACTCCTGACCTCAAGTGATCTGCCTGCCTCGGCCTCCCAAAGTGCTGAGATTACAGGCATGAGCCACTGCACCCAGCCTGAAACAGAATTTTTTTTTTTTTTGAGGCGGAGTTTTGCTCTTGTTGCCCAGGCTGGAGTGCAATGGCGCAATCTCAGCTCACCACAACCTCCGCCTCCCGGGTTCAAGCGATTCTCCTGCCTCAGCCTCCCGAGTAGCTGGCATTACAGGCGCGCACCACCACACCCAGCTAATTTTGTATTTTTAGTAGACAAGGGGTTTCTCCATGTTGAGCAGGCTGGTCTCGAACTCCCGACCTCAGGTGATCCACCCGCCTCAGCCTCCCAAAGTGCTGGGATTACAGGCGTGAGCCCCCACACCTGGCCCTGAAACAGAGTATTTTAAAAGGAGAAAAAAATTGGCCGGGGGCAGTAGCTCACGCCTATAATCCCAGCACTTTGGGAGGCCCAGGTGGGCAGACCACCTGAGGTCGGGAGTTTGAGACCAGCCTGGCCAACATGGAGACACCCCGTCTCTACTAAAAATACAAAATTATCTGGGCGTGATGGCACATGCCTGTAATCCCATCTACTCGGGGAGGCTGAGGCAGGAGAATCACTTGAACCCGGGAGGCGGAGGTTGTGGTGAGCCAAGATTAAGCCATTGCACTCCAGCCTGGGCAACAAGAGCAAAACTCCGCCTCAAAAAAAAAAAAAAGCCGGACGCAGTGGCTCACACCTGTAATCCCAGCACTATGGGAGGCCGAGGCAGGTGGATCACAAGATCAGGAGATCGAGACATCCTGGGTAACATGGCGAAACCCCGTCTCTACTAAAAATACAAAAAAATTAGGTGGGCGAGGTGGCGGGCGCCTGTAAGCCCAGCTACTCGGGAGGCTGAGGTAGGAGAATGGCGTGAACCCCGGAGGCGGAGCTTGCGCCACTGCACTCCAGCCTGGGTGACGGAATGAGACTCCATCTCAAAAAAAAAAAAAAAGAAAAAAATTATCTTGTAGACCTCTGCAAATAAAAAACTATTATCAAGGAACCACCTAACAGCAAGAGACCAGATGGTTTCATGGGAGGATTCTATCAAAACTTCTAAGACCACGTAGCACTAATGCTACATGTATTGTCCTACAACACAGAAAAGGAAGGAAAACTTCCAATTATTTTTATGAAGTATAACATTGATACCCGTACCTGATAAAGACAGAACAAAAATAGAAAATTATAGGCCACACCGGGGGCGGTGGCTCACGCATGTAATCCCAGCACTGCTGAGGCAGGTGGATCACTAGAGGTCAGGAGTTTGAGACCAGCCTGGCCAACATGGTGAAGCCCCATCTCTACTAAAAATACAAAAATTAGCTGGGTGTAGTGGTGCATGACTGTGATCCCAGCTACTCGGGAGGCTGAGGCAGGAGAATCGCTTGAACCCAGGAGGCAGAGGTTGCAGTGAGCTGAGATCTTGCCACTGCACTCCAGCCTGGGCAACACAGCAAGACTCCATTTCAAAAACAAAAAAAAAGAAGAAAGAAAACTATAGACCAATATCACTTATGACTAAGTATCCATTGAGAAATACTAAATATTAATAAACAGAATTCAAAAACACATTAAAATAATACAACATGTGTGATTTATGCCAAGAATGTAAAGTTGATTCGTTATTAGGAGGTTCATGAAGACAAGCTACCATATGAAAATTCACAGTCGTCTCCAAAGATAAGGAAACAAAATTCAATAGTTACTCCAGTAAAACACCACTCAAGAATACAAGAACTGATGAATACTTTGTTAATATGGTAAAATAACATATGCCTTCGCTCTCACATAATGAGGCGTTTCCACTAAGATCAGGACCAAGGTGAGGAGGCGCACAGTCTCCACTATACTGAACAATGGGCTAGAGGTGTCAGCAACTAAACAAAGAACAATGCAATTCAACAAAGTCAGAGTCATAAGAATCAGCAGGTAGCAGTGTATTCATCGATACTTAAAGATTATATGTTAGTACACCTGTAAAGCCCTAAAGAATCAGTAACAAAACTAACCTGAACAATACAAGAATTCTGTAAGGTAGCAGAATATAAAATTAGTTTGCAGGGCCGGGCGCAGTGGCTCACACCTGTAATCCCAGCACCGTGGAAGGCCGAGGCTGGTGGATCACCTGAGGTCACGAGTTTGAGACCAGCCTGACCAACATGGAGAAATCCCATCTCTACTAAAAATACAAAAAATTAGCCACGCATGGCGATGCACGCCTGTAATCCCAGCTACTTTGGAGGCTGAGGCAGGAGAATTGCTTGAACCTGGAAGGCTGAGGCTGCGGTGAGGCGAGATTGCACCACTGCACTCCAGCCTGAGCAACAAGAGCGAAACTCCCATCTCAAAAAAAAAAAAAAGTTTGCAGAAATCCACTGCCTTCAAATGCACTGACAATATGCAGTTAAACGATATAATGACACCACTAAAGAACTTATTCACATATCCAACCACCACCTGTTCCCCAAAAACCTACTGAAATAAAAAATAAATAGCACTGAATAATTAATACCCTGAGATTTGGGGGAAAAAAAGGGGTATAATGGTAGGGAAAATCCCATTACAATAGGAAAAAAGATGATCAAACACTTAGGAACAAACTAGTCATATGCAAAATATAGATGAAGAAAAATTTAAAACCCTCCTGCAAGACCCAAAAGTACACTGGAACAAGAAGACATCCCTTGTTCTTAGACAGGACAACTCAACACCACAAAGATAGAGTTAATTCATACACTGTCACAATCTCCATAAAAGTATCAGTGCTGTTTTTAAGGAGCTACACAAGTTGATATTCAAGTTCATACAGAAAAATGAATAAGCCATAGCCCAGGAAACGGTGAAAACAGAAAACTAAGGGGGCCTGCCGCGACTCGGTAGTCAAGCATACTACAGAAAGCCTCTACAGTCACGACAGCCTGGTTTTGTGCCACTCTCCATCATAACCATCCTTCTCTCCTGTTAGAGCAGCGGCCTCAACCTTGACATGGAAGCAGCTGGGGGAGGCAAAGCCAAATCTCAGAGGAGAAGGTGGGAGCCGGGGAAGAGGGGGACATCTTTCTCTGCCAGGTCACCTGAAGCTGAAGACAACCAGAGACCCCAGCAGGGCACGGCTGGCAGGTGTGGGTACCTGGGCTCCGATAGAGGCTCTTGGGCAGAGAGGGCGAGTGAGTGTCCATCAAGGCCACGATCTTCATGTGTCCGTACTGCTTGGCCAGCATCCGGGCTGTGGCTCCACTGTGGTCTCTCGCATCCACCTTGACTCCCTGCGAATGTCCGTGAAAGGGGGTTAGGAGCCTCTCCTTCAAAGTGCCTGCCGTTCCTGGGCTGCTGGCTGGGAAGAGAAGGGCATATGCTGGTTTCTGGCTGCCTCCCTGCACGGGAAACGCCACATCTGCATGAGAAAAAGGCGGGCTTGTCTGCATCGTAGCCACAAGTTTTGCTCTCACTCTCTTTTTAGTGACAAGCATGAGGGGGGCTGGGGTTGGGGAGTCATCTCCCAGCTGTGGCAGCTCTCGGCTTCCCACTGCTGCCCGCCACACTCATGACCTCCCTTGCAGGGGGCTGGCAGCCACCATGGGGAGAGCCCAGCCTTCACCTTCTGCGCCTGGGCTGTGTCCCAGTCGCTTTGCGTGTCTTCACTCAAAGAAAGCTGGAGACAGCAGTTCACAATGAAAGCAGCCTTTTTAACCAGTCAGAATGAAAGCACCATCCTCTGAAGCAGAATTCATCACTTTGATCAAAAGCTCTATCATGTATTTACAGGTCTTGTGGTGCAGCAATTCCACTTCCATGACTCTAAGGAAATAACCCTAAATACAGAGAAAGCTTTAGTGTGCAAAGGCGTTTGGCACAGGCCGGGTACGGTGGTTCACACCTGTAATCCCAGCACTTTGGGAGGCCGAGGTGGGCAGATCACAAGGTCAGGAGATCGAAACCATCCTGGCCAACATGGTGAAACCCCTTCTACTAAAAATACAAAAAATTAACTGGTGTGGTGGCGAATGCCTAAAGTCCCAGCTACTCGGGAGGCTGAGGCAGGAGAATCGCTTGAACCCGGGAAGCAGACGGAGGTTGCAGTGAGCTGAGATCGTGCCACTGCACTGCTCCAGCCTGATGACAGAGTGAGACTCTGTCTCAAAAAAAAAAAAAAGTTTGGCATAACATATTCACAATAATGAAAACCTACCTAGAGACAACTTGAATGCTCAGGGGGACAAGGAGCCAGTTACGTTATTGCCATAGATGATGAGATTTACAAACGGCTGTATGATCAAGTTAAAAAAGGATCATGGCCAAGTGAGGTGGCTCATGCCTGTAATCCTAATATTTGGGAGGCCAAGGCAGGTGGATCGCTCGAGCTCAGGAGTTGGAGAACAACCTGGGCAACACAGTGTGACCCCACCTCTACAAGAAAAAACAACAAACTATAATCAATACAGCATGTTTCTGGTGTTGTTCTATACCGTAACTGTCCTGCTCTCCTGTTAGTCCAGGCAGCGGGGGTAGGCAGGGAAGCCAGAGCCAAATCCCAGAGGAGGAGGTGGGACCCCAGAAAGGGGGAGCATCTTTAATAAAAACGAGCAGGGTATGGCGGCACACGCCTGTGGTCCCAGCTACTCAGGAGGCTGAGGCGGGAGGATCCCTTAAGTCCCAGAGGTGGATGCTGCAGCGAGCTGAGATCGCGCCACTGCACTCCAGCCTGAGCAATAGGGCAAGACCTTGTCTCAAAAAAAATAAAAAAGGATCATGGTACAAAACTACATATACATTACAACTCCTGCAAAACGAGACAAAAAATAAAAGTACACAGAAAACAGTATTGGACAGTAACATACCCAAAAGGTTGCTATTTTTAAGTTATTTATTATTTTTGATGGAGATTTTTCCAATTGTCCAATCTTCTATGTTTTTAAAATGTACTATCATAAGCATGTTTGCTTTTTTTTTTTTTTTTGAGATAGGATCTTGCTCTGTTACCCAGGCTGAAGTACAACGGCGCCTAAGGAAATAATGCAGGACATACACTACAATTTAGAATTTTCACTGTGGCATTCAGCATAGTAAGAATCAGAAAGAATCTAAAATAAGAGATTAGTGAGCTACGTGAGAGCATATCCAGAAAACAGAGCGCGCCCCGCCCATTTACGTGGTAGGTGGGAGTACCTGCAGTGACACAGACTAGGGTGCACAGAACATCATTAAGAGAAAAACGCAGGGCCGGGCAAGGTGGCTCACGCCTGTAATCCCAGCACTTTGGGAGGCCAAAGTGGGCGAAGCACAAGGTCAAGAGTTCGAGACCAGCCTGGCCAACATGGTGAAACCTCGTCTCTACTAAAAATACAAAAAAAAAATTAGCTGGGCATGGTGGCAAGTGCCTGTAATCCCAGCTACTCGAAGAGGCTGAGGCAGGAGAATCACTTGAACCCAGGAGGTGGAGGTTGCAGTGAGCCAACATCACGTCACTGCAGTCCAGCCTGGGTGACAGAGGGAGACTCCATCTCAAAAAAAAAAAGAATCACAACCCTTAAGTAGTTCTGCTTCCACCCATACTGCAACTGTCTCTCCCATTAGACCAGGGGTGCCTCAACCTTGACCTCCACATGGAGTCAGTGGGGGAGGCAGAGATGGTCTCTGAGCAGAGATATAGGAAAAAACTGTTTTCACAAAGCATAAGGAGTTTTACTTTCTAGACTGCCCTCCATCCTACTTTTGACTCTGGTTAAAAATTACCTATGAAACTTTCAGCCTTAAAAAATAATTTATAGGCCGGGCACGGTGGCTCACGCCTGTAATCCCAACACTTTGGGGGAACAAGGAGGGCAGATCACAGCTCATGAGTTCGAGACCAGCCTGGCCAATGTGGTGAAACCCTGTCTCTACTAAAAAATACAAAAATTAGCCGAGCGTGGTGGTGCATGCCTGTAATTCCAGCTACTCAGGAGGCTGAGGGAGGAGAATTGCTTGAATCCAGGAGGCAGAGGTTGCAGTGAGCTGAGATCGTGCCACTGCACTACAGCCTGGGCGACAGAGTGAGATTCTGTCCAAAAAAATAATAAATAAATAATAATACTTTATAAGCTGGGCACAGTGGCTCAAGCCTGTAATCCCAGTACTTTGGGAGGCTGAGATGGGTGGATCACTTGAGGTCAGGAGTTCAAGACCAGCCTGGCCAACGTGGTAGAACCCCATCTCTACTAAAAATACAAAAAGTAGCCAGGTGTGGTGGTACACGTCTGTAGTCCTAGCTACTCAGGAAGCTGAGGAAAGAGAATCGCTTGAGCCCAGGAGGTGGAGGTTGCAATGAGCCAACATCACGCCACTGCACTCCAGCCTGGGCATCAGACGAAGCAAGACTGTCTCAAAAATAAAAAATAAAAATAAAAAATAATTTCTTGGCTGGGCAGAGGCTCACACCGGTAATCCCAGCACTTTGGGAGGCTGAGGTGGGCGGATCACTTGAGGTCAGGAGTTTGAGACCAGCCTGGCCAACAACCAACCTGGTCAGCAGTTTGAGGCCAGCCTGTATCTACTAAAAACACAAAAATTAGCCGGGCGTGGTGGCACGCACCTGTAATCCCAGCTACTCGGGAGGCTGAGGCAGGATAACCACTTGAACACGGGAGGCAGAGATTGCAATGAGCCGCTGCACTCCAGCCTGGGCGACAGAGGGAGACTCCATCTCAAAAAAAAAAAAAAAAAAAAAATTCTTGTTTAAGTTTGATAGAACGAACCCTGAGGTTTTAACCAGAATAAAACAGTAGCCTCTTTACTGTAGGATTTTAACTCGTTATGTATTTTCGGTTTTGTTTGAGGCAGAATCTCACTCTGTGGCCCGGGCTGGATTACATTGGCTCACTGCAACCCTGACCTCCGCAGCTCAAGTGATCCTCCCATCTCAGCCTCCCTGGGATTACAAACACACACCACGACTGGCTAATTTTTTTTTTTTTTTTTGAGACGGAGTTTTGCTGTGTCACCCAGGCTGGGGTGCAATGGCATGATCTCGGCTCACTGTAACCTCTGCCTCCCGGGTTCAAGTGATTCTCCTGCCTCAGCCTCCCAAGAAGCTGGGATTATAAGCACCTGCCATCATGCCCAGCTAATTTTTGTACTTTTAGTAGAGATGGGGATTCACCATGCTGACCAGGTTCATCCTGAAATCCTGACCTCAGGTGATCCACCTGCCTTGGCGTCCCAAAGTGCTGGGATTATAGGCATGACCCAACGTGCCCAGCCAATTTTTGTTTTGTTTTGTTTTTTAATGTGGAGACAAGGTCTCACTGTATTGCCTAGACTGGTCTCCAACTCCCAGCCTCAAGCAATCCTCCCATTTTGGCCTCCAAAAGTGCTGGGATTACTGGCATGAGCCACTGCGCCTGACGTGAAAATAAATGTTTATCTACTTATGCTTTAAAAGATTTTTTTCCTATTTTATAATGTCCATATTACTAAAGAGACACATGATCAAAATTCATTTTAACATGAAGGTGGGATCAGAGAGTTTAGAAACACTGGAACAAGACTATCCAGAAGGCACGAATCAACTTTCTCTTAAAGAGAGGCCCACAAAGATCCATATCCTCTTCTCCTGACTGAGCTGCTGGGGCTAGGCCCCACCGGCAGAAGGGAAACGGGGGACAAGGAAAGCAGCCACAGCCCTTTCTTCCCCTAGCAAAGAGCACAGGATGCCCAGCCTTGCCCAGTTCTCCACCTCCAGAAATGGAGCCCAGCTCTGGAGGGGCAGGTTGGGAAACCGGGTGGGCTCCCTGCTCTGGCTCCAGGTGTTCTAACAACTGGGTGGCAGGAAGAATGTGGGAGAGAAGAGCTTCCAGGCAAGGCTTGCCCACCAGCCTCCCCGGCAGGCAAACCACCCAGGCCATCAGGCCACCTGCCGCCAGTCCTGCCCCATCCCACCAAGCAATCACTAACCAACACTTTGATTTTTGATTAAAGTGCTGGAGGAAGAACTCAGTGCTGAGTTCCTGAGTTTGATAAGTTTGTGTGACTGGGAAAGAGAACATTTTTGCTTTTAGGAAATACATATTTAGGGGGAAAGGGGCATAATGTCACAATTTACATTTAAATGATTCAAAAAACATATGCACGTTATATATAAAGAGACTGATAAGAAAATGAGGTGAAATGTTAACGTTTGGGGAATCTGGTAAAAACATGCAAATTGTTGGCCAAGCACTGTGGCTCCTGCCTGTAATCCCAGCACTTTGGGAGGCCAAGGTGGGAGGACCACTTGCAGCCAGGAGTT